GAAGCCATCAAGCAGTGCAAGTGACTCGCCACCTGCACGCCTGTCACGCAGGGATTACACCATACAAGCACACATAGCTCCCAGGTTTAAGTGAAATATAGAGTCGCGTAGTGACACACCGTTGTCTCACTCAAAACTCACCTTCACACTACACACCAACGCCAAGAATCTGTACTGATTTGCAGTTCAGACGAAAGCCACTGTTCATTCAATGAGTATGTGTTATCTGGAGTCTCAGTGGACAATTGGCTAGCAGCCTAGACACAGCTTCAGCTCTCAGTCACTCACACTCTTGATACACAGCTGACTAGCAAGAAAACAAATTACGCGAGACTGGTCAACCAGGTGTCCTGACATCGCCCTCAATACCACGCTGATTAGCCTGCTGCAAAAATCACCAAACTTCCATTCTTGATAAGCTGACGAAGCTTCGTGCATTTACTCCCCACAATCTGATCATGTCAGCGAGATTATGCATTCCCAGACAGTGTGCAGACACTCTGTCCACTTCCCCTTGCAATCTCTGTCAGAATTCTGTAGATAGGTAGAAGTCGATAGAGCAGTGGAAGATCGAAATTCTATGTGTGATTTAAGAGAAAGACGCAGAGATCGTGAGTACTGCAACTTCTGTAGGCCAGTAACACTGCTTCCAGTAATCTCGAACATCATCCTAAACCTGTATGTGATGAGGCAAGTTCGTGCTTCCAGAGAACCGCCCTATAATACACCTTCCTTCATCAATTTCCTCTCCCGTAATCCTACAGTTCACGGAGGCGTTTGGCCGTCAGTAATCAGTGTTTTAAGGGACAACAGGGTGGTGGCCACATTGTCATGTCTGTCATTCTGAATTCACATAGCTTCTCACTAACCCGTCTGCTCAAATACATCCTCGGACATTCGTGAGTATGATGTTTCCGCCTCATAGATTTCGCTTTATCAGCGTCAGCCTGACCACCAAGTAAACATCGGTCAGGCTAAGCAGTCAGCCAGTCATGTCGACAACATGAAGGTCTACACGCATCAGTCATTGACGTTCATTCTAGTTGAGGCCGACGAGTATACGACCTGAGAAGCCATCAAGCAGTGCAAGTGACTCGCCACCTGCACGCCTGTCACGCAGGGATTACACCATACAAGCACACATAGCTCCCAGGTTTAAGTGAAATATAGAGTCGCGTAGTGACACACCGTTGTCTCACTCAAAACTCACCTTCACACTACACACCAACGCCAAGAATCTGTACTGATTTGCAGTTCAGACGAAAGCCACTGTTCATTCAATGAGTATGTGTTATCTGGAGTCTCAGTGGACAATTGGCTAGCAGCCTAAACACAGGTACATCTGTCACTTTGCAAATATGCTGAGAAAGCCTACAAGGTTTTACAAAACTCTCAGTTTTTATTTACATTTTGAATGTTTTAAAGTTTTTAACTGGAATAAACTTGAGGTAATTATTTACTAGAATACAACTTAGAAATCTTTATATGACTTTATTTGTACTAACTCTCTGGTCATGTTATTTTTTGTGTTTCTGTGTAGTTACTGAAGTCAGAGGGGTCTCTAAGGTAGATTCTATCAGAAATTTAACATATTGAAACTTTCTTCCAAACACTCCATAGGAGATGCAAGTGACTTAGGATTTTATTTGAAAGTGCATGTGTTGCTGATTTCTGGTTTACAATTTCATGCACACCACACAGCATGTTTCAGTTTTGAGGTTATATAGACATGATGTTAGCCGTTAGATCCCAATTCACTAGAAGGATGACTACAAAAAAAATAATAAACCAGAACAGATTTAGGTGCTTCCCCTTTAATTTCAGACGAGCATTTCAATAAGTACATTAGAGGATAATAACTGACTACACTGCTCGAAGGAGTTCGAGTTCATTCTTGTTAGTCTGTAATAAAAATAATGTTCATGAGTGCGAAGTGACCATCTCTGTCGATATACTTAATAATACTTAAAACGGCTAAATCCTAGCTTGGCCTAACCTGCCTCAGTTACTAGACTGCTTTGAAAGGCACCCAAGCTAACGAAAGAAGAAGAAGCACGCTACTAATCATCAATCTTCTCAAAAGGGGAGGTGATATGTAGTCACATGATGTCTGCCTTGTTTTGACAGTGTTATATTTTGCTATGCGTATATAGATCAATATTCCGTTATAACTGACAATATGCTTTTGTCTGTCCATCAACTAAATAAACAATATATGACCTTGTTGTCACGTGGCATTACAACCAATCATGGTAAGACTGTCTATCTATTGGTTCATGTATACTGGTCATTTTCATATGCACTTGTCCACACATTCCGTACACTACGTACCCTTCACTCACACACTTGTGTGACAGCCATTATTTTCCTTATTTGGAAAATACAAGTATCATCGTGAACAAGGCGGTCTTCTGATTTTCCTCTTTCCGCGTCAGGACTACTAACCACTCGACGAGTACATAACATAACTATTCATTGAACGCCTTTTCTTTTATATCACTCAATGGGAATTTTTAATTTTTAACATTTGTAACCATTTAGTGATGATTGCTCATCTTTTGAGTGTTTTTGAACGCCTTAGGACTTCTCTTAATATAATCATCGCCTAACAGATGGTCTAAATGTTTAGTATTTATGAGCCCGTTTCAGATCCTTTGAGATGAGTTCAAAATGTTAATGAGAACTCTTCTATCTACCCTTCTGAGGAGTGTATTTTGGCCCGTATTTGTAAATTGGTAGATACAGATGAAGGCAAAATGAAGTGGAAATCATTTCGATCCTGATGGTTTTAAACAACGACTAGTTTGATACAAACACAAAAGTTTGTTAGCTGGATATTTCCACCACTGTAGCGTCCAATCTGCATCTTCTTCGACCAGCACAGTATTTTTCTCCACTGTGATGCGATCCACTTTCTTCACACTAGATATATCATGTTAGTTGACAAACGTCTGAAAATAATTGTTACCAAACCACAATGTACGACTCTTCTCCGAGTTTTCCTACAAGTAAACCTTTTAAACGACCGAACAGTGTTCTTACCTATCAATCTTTGTAACTTGCAAAGCAAAACCTTTTAAAGTTAAGATTAAGTGCCCCATACGTCTCGTTTCAGTAGATGCATCTTATAATTTTGACATCTCTGTCACGTAGAACACCACGGCTTAAGAAGATTTTATATTAGAGCCATGCACTAACCTCGAGATTTAGTACAACTGACTCATATACCCGGTTTGATGGCAAATTATTCCAGTAGCTGATGGATATCCGACTAATATCCGGCGCAACTTACCCCGAGTCTCGAAATTTTACAAATAACCATGTGGATGGGTTGGTACTAGGTGAGATCTCGCTGCCATTAACAGTTGATAAAGTGCGAGCACAGGACCATAACTACAGTAACTTAAGCTTTTAATGTCAAACTAATGCATCATCCTACTCTGGTAGCCCTTCTCCTGGTCCACTCATACGAAAACGATGCTTCATGTATGTCTGGAGTGTTTCGTCTATAAAGGTATTACTCCCTGAATTATAGGCGTTGTAAGTAAAGAAAGTGTTCCACTTCATCAGACTGTACATACAGTATTACGAAGAATAAACATAGTGCAGAAGTAAGAAGTATAACTGACTATTAGATGATAGAAAGCAATCGGTAGGAAGTCTTGGACTTAGGTTTTGTGCCAGTCGACACTCTCCAACAAGGCGTATCTGCAACCTTGAAGGAACTCATGTCCCTTCTGATATTCTGACCCGCGTCACCCAGTGCTGCAGTCTGAAACTTTACCACTGAGCTATTCGGGCTCGTAAATGACCTGTTAGTTGCTGATACGCCTTGATGACGAGTGCCAACTACCACAAAACCTAGGGCCAAGGCTTCCTGCCGATTGCCTCCAACTATCTAATACCAACAATTCACAGTGCACCATAATGGCGAGCCACCTAGAATGCTGACATTGCAAACTTGACTGATAGAATTCATTCTGCACCAAACAAAGGGCTACACACACTACACTAGTTAGTGACTAGAATCCAATCGAAAACTGACTGTACCAATAGAAATCCAATGACGTGGCCTTTAATTTAGGCTATGATCGAAGTTCTAGTCTACACATCCCGTAGGGAACACCTAATCATAATGTCTCCTCTCCTGCCCTAACAGTTACCATACAGTCGTCAATGTCTTCACAGTTGATTCGACCAATAATTAAGCAAAGAAGCTGAGATGAAGTTTATAAAACACTTCAGAGCACTGTATTTGTTGACAGACAATATGCAAAAAGTCACTTCAGTTTATTCTTTATCAAGTTCAACCATAAAGTTGTAGATGTAGCCTAAGAGGGGCACACTCGCTCTTGGCTTTCCTCAACAGACCACAAATCATCAAGAGGAATTCAACTACTGAATGCAAATATTTTCACAGAGCTTACTACCATAGTTAAATGAAAGTCAGAGGGAGATGTGTGAATTACTGTAAATAGCTAAATTAGCAATCACAAAGATCAACCACTAAGTGAACTGACGACTGAATTTTTTAGCATAGCCTGCTAACACTACACTACAAAAGTTCAGTGTGCCGAAGGTGGTCACCAGAAAAATAATGACGGAGCATATGAACGGTTTCTTATTGATTATAACTTATTGATACTTTTTACTATAAGTCTGATTATTACAGAATCACATTCAAAAACATACCATATTTACTGGGATACCGAGTGATTCGATTTCTGAGCATAAATAAAGAACTCTTCACCCTAGCAGCCGCATAAAACTCAGGCATTTTTTTAATAAATAAAGATATATGTCAAATAAAATAAGTATCCAAGAAGATGAATAACTTGAACAATCTAAAGATGTCCAAAATACAATCCAATGATCCCCAGTGAAAATATCCTATTGTTTTCATAAAAACTTCAACTTTTCAGTCGGTCTTAAGTGAGCCTGTTAACCTGTCAATTTCTTGTTTAGATTTAACTTCCGAAGCACAAACACGGGGAACCCATCCACGAATTTTCAATGGACTTCCTAGAAAAAAAAAATAACGGGAAAGCACTTCAGATAAATAAATTCTCAGCAGGTGAACAACTTAGAAGCAATTGGCGTAAAGTAGGTTAAGCCTGATACCTGGGTCTTCAGCCAAATATATAAACTCAAGAACAACATTCTGGAAAAATCTACAAGAACTGAGATTATCCGACAGTAGATCAAGAATACCGGTATTTAACATAATCACTCTAACTACAGTCACGAAACCCTGGATATAAAGTCAAAATGACTGATGTACCACATAACACTGTTGAACTATCTTATAGCGATGAAATACATCACTTCCCAACAATAATGGGTTTCATTAGCCAACGAATTTGCATAATATATATATATATTTATATATATATATATATAAGAATTCAATCACGTGCAAGTCCTAACTTCTGTCAATTGACGATACAACTCCATTGACAACAAGTACCACGGATTTTCATTCCCTTCAACCTGATATGGAGAACACCGCCGGCCAAAACATCCTACTACAACTTAAGAACATCTGCCCTACATCCACTGAACAGCTGGATATTAGGGATCAGATCTTCGGTCCCTACGGATTCTCATCATTTTTAGTTTAGATTACATCACAAACAAACACCTGTTATAGATTCAGCAGTAGTCAAGGTGCTTGACTGCCAACCCAATGGGTAAATGGTCAGTTGCCTCGCCTGTTAACCTGGTGTTGAGTTCAATCCCTTGTAGGTTGACGGTTGCGCATTCCTGAATGGTCTGGAACTAAGAAGAAGCACTCGTCCAGTCCTTTTTGTTCTTCTCTGATTATCCGACAAATATTTATAATAATAATAATAATAATAATAATAATAATAATAATAATCACTTTATTTTAGGATTTCATCGTGAGCTGACAACGGTTAGAGAGCCATTGGAAATCCTTGGAGTACTAGAAAGTTGTTTCGTCCTAGTTTGGCACTCTTCATCCGCATACGCCCATCGGGGTTCGAACCCAGGACCTTCTGACTACAAAGAGAGACTGTGGTTCGTGAGGAAATATACCTTTCAATTAATAAAAAAACTCCAAAAAATCTACATCAAGTAATAAGTGTTCGTTGAGATAATTTTACATGAGTAGAAAATATGTCAGTTTTTAATTTTTTTTCTAAAACAAATGAAGATAAAATGGGTAAGGAAATACAAACAAAATTTGAAAAGATGCTGGATATTTACCCACACAATGTTGAATAGGAATTTCAGATTGAACCAACTGTCCATATATCCAGTATCTGGTAAATAAATAAAAAAAGTAGATATTTGCATGATGCACGTGAGCTGTCAAATCATGACAAACTATTCCACAATAAGATGGTCTAATGACAACCACCATCAAGAGATCACATAAAATACTTCGAGTAAAAGATGATTCATTAGGCTGTTCTCGTCAGTTGCCCTGATTCGCTGTGCATAAATTGTGACTAAAATGCTGAACACGTGCTTTACCTGCCTACTCTTGATTCTTTATTTATACAGCTTTTGCTTGAAGTGGCAAGCTGCAGAATTTACATCACTTTTCCTGTTGCATCGATCCGAAATCTCCGACCGATATCATATATCACAATACCTATCAAACAATCACTGTTCACAAGAAGAGTATAATATATTCCAATATCAGTAGGTCGTTGGTAAAAGCCTAAGAGGATACCACTAATCGTTTTCTAAAACTCGACAGGATATTTTTAACACACGCATACCTCTATGCTTTAAACTAGAAAAACCCAACATAAACAAACAAAAACCAGATTTCAAGAAGACTCTTCAATACAACGGCAAAATTAATGTGAATCTATACAAGCAACATCATGATTTCCGATGTGAAAGCCAGGGTAAAAATTTTCATTGATATAAGTATAAAACTTGGGCATTGTGGTAGAGTATAACTCCGTTATACGTTTTGTAAGAAAACCGTTATTATAAGTGTGACTACATTTTTGCTGGAAATCTAACACCGCGTGTGTAGATCACGACAAAGCTGGACATTTCAAAAACTTCCGTTTTCTAACGTGTAATTACAAGTGAGACTGTATGTGACGTTTCCTAAAAAGTAAATAATGAATACAAATAATAGATAAGACTTTATTTTGATAAATCACACAGTGTTATACAGAAACATTAACTGATGACGCTCCGAGAACAAATTATTGCTCATAATCATATCAAGTCACTTACTCACACAACTTTTTTCTTTCATCTATATACATGTGTGGAATCGACTAGATACTTGAATAAAAGTCAATATGGGATAATGTACATTCAGAAATAATAATATGATTGTTATTGATCAATTACAATCAGATGGGACATAAGACGAGTGTTTTTATAGTCATAATAAGTAACTTGTCAGAATGTTGTGATGTACTTGAATTGAAATAGAACTTTGAGATTAATTATTATCCTCCTTTGATTTGACTGGCGGTAATAATATCTTCCATATTTCTAGTATTTGCATTGAGTCATTTCTGTTGCATGTGTTGGGTGTAGATTCGATGAACCAGGATTCAGTAATCAATCTCTCTCCACCTACATAGATTACTTCTTAGAATCTCAACCCTCTCCCACCCTATTGTGTGGTTGTGTTAATGCATCCAGTGAATTAGCTATGGTAAATTGTAATATAAAACAAATAGAAGAAGGTAAACTACACACTAGCGTTTATAAAACCAACACATTATAATAGATATTTAGACTTTAATTCATGTCATCCGTTGACTCTTAAGGCGGGCTTAGTTAAGTGTCTAACAAACCGAACAGTAGCACCAAGTAGCACAGAAAAGATCTAAATGATGAAATAAAACAGATAGAAGAGGCGTTGGTGTCAAATAACCATCCTATGAAATTCATTAGGAAGATCGAAAAAGGCCAAAAGCAAAATAAAAATAATTGTGGAACTAGTAATGATAACATAAATAAGAGAGAATATAAGTCATCTACTGTTATACCATATAAGGAGGGGACATCTGAGACCCAACGTAGGGTTCTTAATGAATCAGGAATTACAGTGGTATTCAAACGTACAAACTCACTCAGAGACAAGCTCTGTAGGCTCAAAGACCCGGTGGACCCAATTAAACAAAATAATATAATTTACAAAATACTTTGCAATGACTGTGAAGTCAACTATGTGGCTCAAACTAGTAGATCGGAGGTAAACAGATTGTCGGAATATAAGAATTTATCTATGGTAAGAATGGTTGACCCCGAGAAGATAAGTAATTTAGAAAAAAGCTCAGGACTACATTGCACTGCATGCATTGACACACAACCACACAATAGGGTGGGAGAGGGTTGAGATTCTAAGAAGTAATCTATGTAGGTGGAGAGAGATTGATTACTGAATCCTGGTTCATCGAATCTACACCCAACACATGCAACAGAAATGACTCAATGCAAATACTAGAAATATGGAAGATATTATTACCGCCAGTCAAATCAAAGGAGGATAATAATTAATCTCAAAATTCTATTTCAATTCAAGTACATCACAACATTCTGACAAGTTACTTATTATGACTATAAAAACACTCGTCTTATGTCCCATCTGATTGTAATTGATCAATAACAATCATATTATTATTTCTGAATGTACATTATCCCATATTGACTTTTATTCAAATATCTAGTCGATTCCACACATGTATATAGATGAAGAAGAAAAGTTGTGTGAGTAAGTGACTTGATATGATTATGAGCAATAATTTGTTCTCGGAGCGTCATCAGTTAATGTTTCTGTATAACACTGTGTGATTTATCAAAATAAAGTCTTATCCATAATAAAAATTTTCTTTCTGCTCTAAGCATATATCAAAAAGCAACTCACTAATAAACACAAAATACGTATATTACACAATCCAGTACATGCACACAGCTTTCGATTTTAATGCAAGACAGAATTATTTGAGAATAAGTTCTTCGGGAAACTAGTTATGCAAAATAGCTACAACATCGACAGACGACAACAGCTAAAACAAACAGATTGGAAATAAGTAGATAAGTACTTAAATCTATTATTGAAATGAAACAATATTAAATGTGCATCCAGTTGAAGAGTCCCGTGTAGGACGAAAAGCGTATCCTGGATTCCACTGCTAGTCAACATCCTCCAATTAAATATTAAATGTGCTTCATATTTCACTCACTTTGTTTTCCTTGTCACTAGCAGGGTATCGCCTACACTGACTGATATTCTTCGCTCTTCGAAATATGGAGAACGAATTACAGTCAAGCAACCATAACGAAAGCACATACACCAACTTCCATCATATGCCTTAGTAATTGTGAAGATGCGCCGAACTTGTTGCTTTAGTTTCTTCTGGTAAATTTGCTCCATCTGAAAGCACACAAAATTACCACAAGGTAAAATAGTAAAAAATTGATGATTCATCTTGCTTTTCAATGAATTTACCATGAAGATAGAATAAATACTCAAATGATTATTCAGTGAAAATATTAACTGAAAATGACAATTTTTCTCAACCTAAAAGATGTAAAACAACCACAAATTGCAGCTTAACAACCAGGTTTATTTAGACTTGTATGCGGTAAGCGACTATCCAAATTTTTGTGGTAAAATGGAGTTTAAGTCTATGGCTTAGTGAGAGTAAAACTATATGAAAAAATATAATTCACTATTCTGAACAAAAATATGCAGAGGAGTTGAACATCACAAAATACCTTCCTAATTATTCCTTCAAGTTCCTTCTGCACAAATTAAAATATTATCATATTTATAAGGTGTCTAAAGTGTAATGGGCTCGAATTTTGAATTAACAAACTAAAATAAACCTCTAGAGACTAGATGGCGTTGGTGGCACAGCGGTGGAATGCACACCAACCGAGCATGTTGTCCGGGATTCGATCCCCGATCGACACACTCCTTTACCTCGCTAAGCCAGTAACAAGACTGGTAAAGAGGGAAGAATGGGCATGAGGCTAGCAACCCCATCCCGTATCCACGCTGAAAATTCCACACTTGTACTAAAAATACAGTGTGGAATCAAGCTGTAACCAAAAAATAAAAAATAAAATAAATAATAAAAAAAGCACCACTACTACCGAAACTTTAAGCCTCTAGCTTGAAACCCTATGTTCCACTGGGAACGTAAAGGAATAAAGAAAAGAAACCAGAAGGAACATTCCGATGGAATACTAAAAATACAATAGTTTAACTAACGATGACTCTAGGGTATATTCCAGTAATGCAAATAATAACTGTACTTATCGTATTCATCTCTTAAAAAGTAATCAGGTCGAAATGCAGAATAAAAATCAGAACACGATGACACAAAAATGTCCTTGTTCTTGTCAGTGTTGGAATAAATACGGACTAATAACGACCATTCATATTTTGTCAATAAAACATATTTGTATAGCTGAAGCAGAAATCAGACTTCATTTATTAAAATTACCAAAGCCATCAACTAGTATGCTTGTCAATGTAAACAGCTCCCCTGATTAGTAAATATGCAGAAACAAGAATATCGTTATAAAGTTACTTAAAATATCAAGTTCAAAATGGGCTGAAATCTTGTTATTCGCTTTTTCTTACTGGATATATCTTTGGAAAATTAGATGAACTGATTTTTCTACACAACTGACTAAAAAGTCCCAAAAAACCTACCATTCCCCTTAAATCAAAGCGATTTATGTAAAAAGAACTTTTAAAAACATACCGTCAAATCAAATTGAGTGCATCCTTCTAAAACAGGCCAGTAGTATCCATCATTCATAGAACTGTCAGAACGTGAAAACACCTGACAGAATGATAGAGAAATGATAGATAAATCACTTAAGTCATCAGAAGATGAATGAATCAAAAACCCATGTAAATGGAAGACAATGGAAAAATGTGTGCGCACACAATGTCAATACGAGAATATTCTAATTTCTGCTACACCAAAAAAGATACAGTAAAATAAATTACTTTAAATGAACTATGACTGAATACCAACCTGTTGAAAATTTTCAAAAATTCCGAGATCATACGGGTAACGGAACGGTTGCTCTTCTCCTAAATCATTCCTCCAAACTTTTGCCTTGAAAAGAGAATCATTTAGGACACATACATAATTAAAATGACAACAGTTAAAATCTTGGTAAACGTAGAACCTAATGAAAAAACTCATACATCAAACAACAATAAAGAATTTAAAGCAAAACTACTCTAAACTTGATAGTGACACAATTAAGGTCAATTGTATGCCTGCTGACCTCCTAATCTAAGTGGCAGAAACAATTAGTTCGAGTCAAGCGAAGCTTTATTTGACTAATGAAAGGGAAATAATCATTATAACTAGATAGTGACTACGAATGTTTGTTATCCCCAGTATACGGACTATAGTACTAACACGAAATATATTTTTGTTACTTCAGATACTAGGATATTCTTAATATTATTTGATACTCTCAGAAAAAGAAGCGAAGAATCCGTGTAAACACCACACATCAGATACTCAGTCTACGGCTGGATATAAATAGGATACTTGATTTTGACATGTATGAGTGACTGGAACAAAAGACAGATAAAGTCGATTCACGTAATAAAAGAATGCAAAGGAATTACATTTCAACCGTATTCATGTTTTATTGGCAACCAACCTGCTAAGAAAGTAATCGTAAGGTCCAGTGAGAAAGTAAGTGCTTTAAACTACCTTAATTTTACCTGTAACATTAAAAATGATAAGTGATTCATATCTGAGATGAAACTTAAGCTACTTGAAAGAATCTCTGACTGAAAATTCGGATGCTACACATCAAGGGTTTTTGTGAATTTGATCGACTTCAAGGTGGACATCAGTTAGAGCGTTACTAAAATCAAACAACCATTGGACAAATGTGTGGGACTCTTCAGTGAAATTAGCTTATTACTGACTACCTTTGAGAGATTTCCTGAAGTTCGAATGAGAGGTCAACACGTGTGGATCTCACTAAGAACGCTAAGAGGACAGTTACTTACGAATGTAGAAAATCAATACAAGTGACTCAGTGAAGAGACTCTTTTCAGCAAATTTATTATTAAGCTGTACAATCGCATCTATATGGTTTTTAAGAAATAATATCCGGTGAGGGAATTGAATCATAGATGTGAATACATAAAATAATAACAGTATTTTATTTTTTTTATCCTTTATCTACTAATCATATAATTCAACACCCCTTCCAATTTCTATACATCCTATGAATTGTTCTATATATGACATTAGTTGTCTTGCTGCTTCACACTGAACTATGATTACAATCACAAACATTTTAATTGCATCTCATACTATTATCATTTTATGTATTCACACCTATAATTCAAATGCCTCAGGATTTGATTTCTTAAAAACCATATATATATATATATATATATATATATATATATAAATTCGTTGCAAAGAGTCTCTTCACTGGATCACTTGTTTTGACTGTCCATATGTCCCAATAGGAATTTTCCATGGACTTACCAATGTCACTGGATATCGCTGAAGCTATATCGCGAATTAACAAGGGTTGCAATTTATGACCCACTGAATTTCGCCCCGTTGGATACATGATAAAGTGCTCGCGACGCAACCTTATGGTTGTGGATAAGCACAAATGAGCTCCAGAGTACGCCAAAATATTGTGCCCCGCATTTTCACAGCTTAAACCACCTTATTATAGTTACCGCACAACACAATTGGAAAGAAAGAATACCAACAATTCTCTTACATTTTATTTACCTTAGCCACGATCCATGACTCTATTCCTGTCTGATTACGTGAAACGGCTTTCAACTGAAGAATCGCTAAAATTCCAACGGACAGCGTCACTCCAATAGCCAAACCCAATGCAAACAATGTGATAAATAGATCAGCTATGAAGAAGAAAATATTTGATGTCGGTCTCCGTAAAAGTACATTGGGGAACTAAAATCAAATGAAAATGCTCACATGAATAAAGTAAACATCTTTCATAAATGGCTCTACATGACACATAAAATCTAACGAGAATCAGCTTAAAAAATGCAACTGGTGAAATAAAAAACAACTCAACAATTATGCAACAAAAAGGAAGGTGTACCTATTAAGAGCTAAAGAGACTATTTAACATGATTTTAAACACAACCAAAAGGTTAAGGATAACTTCCTACACCAACAATCCACGCCTCCACATAAAAATAGATCAGTGTGTTGGAAATGACTAAGCCTTAAAAGATGCTTCAAGGGAGAAATAGTCCTTAAAGAAGAAAAGGTATGCTTCTGTGTAGCAGTAAAATCCAGTAAACAAGCTAAAATCAAAACACTAGTGTCCCTAGAATTAACAAGTTGAATAATAAATACAGACAGACAAAATCAATACAGAGCATCAAATATAAAAACCAAACATTCGCGGTCCAACAATTATGAATAGTCTGAGGTGCTCTATTGAGTGAAGACAAAGTAAAACAGAAATAATCTGAACATAGCAATAGGAATAATTCCCTAGTACGGCAAGCAATACGAAAGGAATGAAATAAGGGAGGAGGATAACAGGTAACATAATTTTTCTATTCGAGCTTCAGAAGACTAAACTAGTTTGCAGTTTTCAGTATCTTTTGCAGCAATATGCTATTTAAAAACTCTAAGACATGCTCTGCATTGTGTTAATTTCATTCTGCGAAATCCAACTTCATGGTTGTATGTAATTCGAAATACCCCATCCTATTTTCTCTTCTTCTGGTTGGTCACATTAATTTCTCCGAACTTTTTATCAATGTCAATCTGAACTGACAAAGAGCCTCCCGAGTCCCTACACTAAATTTCCTGTATACACTGGATTCACTACAGACTTTAAAAATTCTCCTACATTCATGCCACATCACACTGCTTAAAATCTAAATAAACAAAAGTAAGCAGATTTTAAAAGAAACATGAACATTGTCCATGTTTGATAAACGTTATTTAAGACAGTGTCAAGTTGTGCTTAAGGACAAAAATAAAGGTGGTGACATAAGGCTGCTAGAACTACCAAGCAAAATGCACCTGCAGTGAATAAAAGGCTTTAAAGTTCAAAAGTAGGCTGGGAGTACGACTGTTATTCACAAAATAAAAATTCGCTTCTAACGATCAATAAAAGGACAACAAATTGTCTTCAAAAAAGGGTTCAAAAACATAAAAGTGCAAGTAGAGAGTTCGAAATTTTTATTTATTTCATTTAAACGCAGAAAAACTTGGTACAATATGGCACCAAGACGATGCGCCCCATATAAATAATAGAACATAGATTAAAAGTAAAAATATAAGTAGAGAATGCATAAAGAACTTCATCTGGAAGGAAAACAGTCATATTTAACAAGCTCAAACAGTATTCGTCAAATAACATCATATGAAGAAAGAAGAAAATTGCAGCACGTTCGCCGCCGATCACGATTCTTGGCCCTATTCGTAACGTTTCGAGCCATCGAACCAACATATCCCTCGGACTCCAACCAGGGAGACGTGACGCACCAACCGATACTAACCTACCACAAATATCCTTCATCCCACGATGCCACGTCATGGACTGACGACCTCTCCGCTTTTTCCATCCCGTCCCAGGGCCAGCACATGTCCAAGCCACTGAAGCCGGTGTTTCCAGATGACGACACTCAACAAATGGTGATCTCCACTGTGTTCAAACACACGCCGCCGAACCTCAAAATTAATCACGCGATGATGCCATCCAACGCAAGCAATACTGAGGAGACAGTGATGATCGAATACGCAGAGCTGAGAGTTAGAAATGAAATTCAATCTACATAGAACTGGAAAGCTAATAAAAATAGGCTTCTTGGAATTATGAAACGAAGATCATGCAAACTATCTACCCTTTTAATGCATAATTTACTAAGTCATACTGCCACGTTTCAAGAAACCATTAGGTTGGCAAGACCATCAGTTCAAAAGGAAATAAGAATGCAAAGTAGCAAATACATCTTGTTTTAGTCAGCACACCAATAGACAGACAAATGATCAGTTGAAAGCTGCCCGCAAACATAAAAATACAATTACCAGTATCAAAGTATATTTATTAAAGTAAGCGCTTCAAAAGAAATCTTACCACTTTCTAAAAATTTGAAACTTACAAATGCTGGATTTCTGTAAATGGAAACTGATAAAGCCACACCAGAAGCAATACATCCAAATGGGGCAGATAACAAAAATATTAGAAAGTATCCGTGGTTAAGATGACCACAACATGTATTTATCCAAGGACAATGATGATCCATTTTCATAACACACCGGTCACAAGATCGACAGTGATGTGCTCGAGGAGGTTTAAAGCCCTTACACACATTGCAAAACTGAAGTTTTTCTTCAAATGTACGGTCAGACTGCCAAAAAACAACAGCAAAAGGGAAAAAATGTAGCAATTTTCGAATATGTTAGTGTTTAACAACAACAGAAACAGAACACAAAAGTGTTTGGCCTTACTTTTATGAAGTTCTCAACTTGTTCAGTAACTAATAAGACATTAGCATAACTTCAAAACTTAATTTGTGACTAGTGTGAAACCTAAAAGGAACCTTTTAAGATAAAAAGTGGTGATGGAAAAACGCTGAGACGATGCAAAGCACAAATAATTAGTCAAATTTTTGCGTTAACTGAAATTGTTGAAATTATACTGCGGTTGTCTTATGTTTTAGAATAATATTCATTTTCAAGAATTCTACAACGATAGTATTCATTGCACAAAAAGAAGATTGTTACCAAGAATGTAAATGGCCTCTTAGCCCAAGTATGTGGAACGTGTATGTCTGTCTGTCTGGATTCAACATAGAACTTGGCACCGAAGTGCAGCAGTTCGAGTTGCCACGTTCCAAATAGCACACAGAGGTAGACAAGAAGATGAGTGAAGAGAATAAATAGAGTTTGACAAGTATAAGAGTGAAACAGAATGGGTAATGGTAGAAAGGAATATGAAAGATTACAGAGACTGAATACATCTGCGCTGGCCATTGACAACGATTTTGAGCCATGTCACCTATTGTCTCCAGCCATTGATTCCTAGAGTCCCGAGGGCCCCAACCCGGGAGTCTGCATCTCCCTACCTGACTCAGTTTAACTGTCAAGGATTTCATGGATTGATGCCATGTTTTTGTTTGGCCACCACTGGCTCTTTTCCAACCTGCACCTATATCAGCTAGCAATGCCCGTCGGGGGAGGCGGTGGTTAGGCATGCGCAGCACGTGACCTAGCCATCTTAGTCTATGTAACTTTATAGCCTCGTCGATTGATTTTCCCTCTTTGCCCAACACTCTACGCCTAACGTCAACATTACTTACCTTGTTAAACCACCTAACGTGAGACAGAGATCGCAGACATCTATGATCGAAAGCAGTCAACCTTTTCATGTCTTCAACGCGTATTGGCCATGTTTCAGAGCCATAGAGAAGGACGGAGCGAACTGATGAGCAGTACACACGTCCCTTGGTTGATAACCGGATGTCACGCCTACGCCAGAGATGGTGTAAGTCAGCGAAAGCAGCTCGAGCTTTTCGGATCCGTGCTGAGATTTCATCGCCAATCAGTCCGTTGGTGCTAATACAACTTCCCAAATAGGTGAAGTGGTCAACATGTTCTATCACTTCACTCCCTATCACTAAGGGGTTGACGTGGTCCAGTCCTGTAGCAGCATCTTACATTTTGTAGGGGCGAATCGCATGCCAAACATACGAAGATTGCTGCTCAAGGTGTTCAGAAGACTCTGCATTTTGTCAGCATCCTCCCCTAACAGGACTATGTCATCTGCATATTCTAAGTCCATAAGACTATTCCCTGGTAACAAGTCGATTCCTAAGTCATTACGTTCAGTTAAGGATACTTCCATTAGCATATCTATGATGAAGTTAAACAGAAATGGGGAAAGTGGACATCCCTGTCGGACACCACTGGTTGTTACCAATTCAGATGACAATTCCCCATAAGCCCTTACACGACTACGTGAGTTTGAATAGAGTGCCTTGATTAGTGCAATGTACTTTCTTGGCACTCCCTTCACAGTCAGACATTGCCATAGTACCTTTCGATCCACGGAGTCGAAGGCCGCCTTCAAGTCAAGAAATATGACAATTGTTGGACGCCGAAAAGTGTGTCTATGTTCTAGAATCTGTCGAAGAGTGAAGATATGATCTATGCACCCTCTACCTGGTCTAAAGCCTGCTTGATTTTCCCTTGTCTGTTCCTCCCGAGTTCTGCTTAGTCTATGCATGATTACTGAGCCTAGGATTTTAGAGACTATGTTCGTTAGGCTGATCCCCCTATGATTATCACACGAGGACTTGTTTCCCTTCTTGAATATCGGTATAATAAGTGACTTACCCCAAAACGTATGTATATATATATATATATATATATATATATGTACATATACACATACAAATCTGAGTATACTATGAAAACATCGATAAGATGCTTGCTACCAATGGTTTATTTCTGTAAAACTATAATATAAGCTCCTATTTGAAATGAAGATAACAATTAGTTATAGTTGTTTTAACCTTTAAAAGTGGTTTGTACGTATTATTTCCCTTTGTCTTTAACTATGACTGCTACATGTAAGACACATCGTCTAGAATCACACATGTCATTTCTCATACCAAGCCAGCGAAGATCTCTACCAGCACCTCTCTCAGAACCTTTAGATAATTCAATCAAATCAAAGATCGACCTGCACTATACAGAGAATCGTAAGGACTGGTATAGTCTTGAATTTACTGTTGTAAATTCAAGCTTACTACATTGAAAATTCAGTATTTTACATTGTATTAACACAGAATGTCACTGAATGCACGGAGTAAACTTACTGGCTTCCACTGAAAAGGAACAAACCCTGGACCAACGAATACTGCACAAAAATAAGACTTTAAAGTCACATAAAAACACGAACAAATACAGATAGATAATATCAGGCCAAATTTTGAGGAAAATGGAGGTAATACTTGCAGAACACTCCACAAGCTACTGAAAGTGATGAAAAATATGATCCAGAGAGTACATATTGGACCCCAATGTACAAGCCGCCTTCGTTTATCGCTATAATTAGAACAGATTGAATCATTCATGACGTATGGAATCCTTTTACATTCACTTCATGTAGAAGTGAAATTCCTGAGATCCTTTTATGCCCTTAAAAGCCGCTTCTAATGTTTCGGTAGACGACGTCAATGTCCTTGATGTGTATGGAGCTGAGCTGTGATTGGATGAGACGCTTGCGTGCACTATAAATCTACTTTTAATAATGTCATTTTCCGAATTAATTTTGTTTTATTGTGAGAGTATGCTCCATCGCTTTGTTAGCATCACCGAGTTAGAGGTAAACGAATTTGCAGCTTGTTTGGTATTTTGATTAGTAAACAGCAGAGGTCACCAAGCGACCTTGACCAGGCAATCATTCAATATCCAATATCCTGAATATGAGCTAGTATACACCAGTGATTTCTTTGAGCTCCCTTCTTGATTGTGAGGTAGAGGTTCCAGATCTTCGGTGAGCTTCTGCGTAGTAAGTCCCACCACTCGACTGCTTTAGCTCTGGTAGACTCCAAGAGGAGTGGTGCGGGGATTGGTCAAGATGTGGTTTGTAGTATGCAGTATGTTAGGACTGTATTGCTGCCGTGAATGGAGTTTGACCTAACTCCCGTTGGTCACTCGGTGTAGTCATAAAAGCAGAATAGTAATAATAATAACAATATAATAATAGGTTGTAGTGTAGATAATATAGGTTGAGATAAGTGGAATAATAAAGGTGACCTAAGGAAAAGATAGAGTGAGAGAAGGCAGAATAGGTCGTGGGGATTTAGTTTGTACGCTTATCCATTGACAGTGTGGTTTTAAGTTTTATGAGGATAAGCCATTGGGACACAAACCTTGCATTTCTGCATGATTGTCTAGCTTCCGCTTAAAAATCTCCAGAGATGGCGCTGTAGTCACGGCCGCCGGTAAAGCGTTCCAGAGACGGCAAACACGAAGCGAAAAGAAATGTGATCGCACTCGAGTCTTTGGTCTCTGGTGTGCTATCCTTAGCGGGTTACCTCGTGGAAGCCTATAATCGCTTAATGGCAGGATGCTTTTATTTGGGTGGGCCTGGTCATTTAAGATCTGGTAGACGGTGATGAGGTCTCTCCTGTGCCTACGGTAACTAAGTGTGAAAAGACCTAATTTCTTTAGTCGTTCCTCATATGATTTGTTGCGGAGGCCGATCACTCATTTTGTCGCTCGTCTCTTGATACTTTCTAGAATGTTAGCATCCCTTTTGAGTAGCGGAGGTGCAATGATATTATGCACCTCAAGGTGTGGCCTCACATATGCCTTATATAACCTTAAGAACAGTTCGGGAGTGAGAGCTCCCAGCTGCCTGTGCATAAAGTGTAAAGTTGCGTGGGCTTTATCGACGTCCCTCGCGTAAATTCCACTGGTGTCTAGCTTTTCTGTTAGAATAAGACCTAGATCGCACTCTGATGGAACACAACTCAAGTTCTGGCCACCAAGGGTGTAATTTACGCTCTGTGACCTGCCGGAATGAAGTTGCACTACTTTGCACTTCATGAATCGGTGAATTATTTTGACAGTTGACTTTATATTTAATTCTACTTGATCAGAACTTTTCCAAGCCCTAATATAATTCTAGGGCAAATAATCCTCCAAAATTACTAGTCTACAGCACACACTCAAACGCAGTAGCACTGACCACGAAATACTGTATTTCGGAGGATTTCACGCAATAGTGTTATTCTTGTCCATGCCGAATAAGTAATCTAAAGGTTGTAGGGTAAGAGTAAACAATACACACCAAAGCCAAATAACCATAACTTGGTCAATTAGATAGCCTAACATTACAAATGGTTGATAGTCACAATCCGGGATTCAGTCATTGACTTCTTCGTGAAAAATTTGTTGATAGGGTGGAATAAAAATGCATATTTAGAGGGATAATGACTCTGAAAAAGTATTGCCAGGGGTACTGATGGTTATATATTCAGATGAATACCATTGTATTTTATGTGATCCCGTCCCCTGAGCTAGATGGGTAAGTTCCATAGCTTTCATGGTCCTACTAAACAGCGTCTTCGTAAGAGACTGAAGCGGGCTTATTTCAGTTCACCATAACTGATAAAACTGTCTTTTCACTTAACCTCTGTTGTGATAGGTTGTTAATTTGCAAGCTACCTGCAGAGTCTAGAACAAGATGATTTTACAGTTTTTTGTTATATGTTAAAAATGGAAATATTGTACATAAATTTGTCTGAAGCGAGTCATTCTAAAATATGGATAACTTCACAGTGGAATCTAAAATGCATTGTGCCGTTTGTTGATTCTTCTTCTTCTCAATGGCCATAATGTCTACTTGCTTCACTAATAATCGTGTTGTATCGCTTGGATTTCGCAGGAACCTCTCATTTTCATCCGAAGACTATTCGACAACCTGTGCACAGCTTCTACTAGTAGATAAGACCCCAGCAGTGAACCCTTCTGCGAATTATACTACTAATTTGTAGAAGTGGACTTTAGCTACAACACCAATTTACATAACTCACTAGCTGTTACGATGCTATTTCAATAACGTGGATTTTTCTGATAGTTGTTCATTTCCGAGCCCGATATAAAGTCCCCTACATACAATCAGCCTTACCTCTAGTCGGTTTTAGACTGGCATACCACCATGAGATGTAGCATCCTAGTCCGTCGATATGGTGGTTTAATGACAAACTACACTCCTTGTAAGAATGAATTGAAATGAAATTTCGCACTGAAACACTTTTCCGACGTAATGCCAGTGGCACGATGTACATGAATTCCTTTGCATTTACTCCACTTGTTTCAGAAAATGCGGCTTGAAATTGAAATCATGTAAATCGAGTGGATTAAAGGAGACAAAAGGTTCCAAATTTAATCGTATATCTTTTGTCTGAGTGACTTGATATGATTACGAGCAATAATTTGTGCTCGAAACGTCATCGGTTAACATCACTGTACAATACTGTGTGTTTTATCAAAATAAAATCTTATCCATAATTTTCACGACACCATGCATTTTTGTATTTGCCCACTTAAAGATACGCTACTGTCTTCACTGGAGCAACAGGTCTCAACGCTTGTCGCATCATTTCAACTCTTATTTCTGTTTCTGTCCACCCAGCATGGACTGGTTTTTATTCTGAAACAAAAAGCACTAGCACTACGGACTCAGCGCGTAACTTAATGATGAACTTGTGTTTCAGACTGCCTTTATTCGGAAGAGATATTTAACTTTTGTAAGACTCCGGCTTCGTAAACATAGATAATGCTCACATGTGAAGGAATATAATTAACTTGTTCGGAATAGTCATAGGCTGTTCAGAAGGCGTGGAAGAATTTGTTTCGCAGTTTAGTTTTATAAGTCGCACTGAGGACTGACACGACATGAAAGATTAAAATTACCTTGCCCTCCCCTTCAAAATCAGGAAGTTAACAGCATACTTGAATTATTTCACAAAATTATCTGTTTTATGTGATGTTCACTAAGTGCTGTTTTAACAACTTTTAGAGGTTCCAGTGAAGCCCAAAAATGGTGCATAAATACACCAGTTGTCATTTCTACTACCAACAATTTGCCCTTCATTAGATTCACACAACATAGATATCTTCTTCCAGCTGCTTTGACGGCTTCCAAAAATGTAATATGCCAAAGTACTAATATCATAATTCTACAGAACTCATTCTATTCACTAGATACCGAAATTATATTATCTGGGGGTTGATTTTCCAAGAGAGGCATAATACAAGACTCAATAAGGCGATTGCCGTCATCATCTAATTACACTCTGATCCCACACTCGCTGACAAAATTGTCTGCAGTCGATTTCAGCGGCCTAACAGGGAACTGTTTCGTAGATATGAGGTATGCTAATGATACCATGCTCCAAGATTGTGAGACAAAGCCTCTAAAGTTAAAACACATAAACAGACTGAATGTGTTTGATTGCTGATATTTGCATTCTATCCCATATGTCAAGTGGTATAATATAGTGAGCCATACAGAAGTCAGGCACGGAAAGTTTGTAAATGAATGCAAAACAGTTGATGAGGTAGTGAGTCTAAATTAACTGAGATGACCAGGACATGTAGGGAGAGTGCCAGCTCCTGACCAAACAGCCGATGTTAACTGAAGTATTATTCGGTTGATAAGAGTAGGCTTCGTCGGACCAAAACCTGGCATCAGCTCACGAAATCAGTAACAGTTACTCTTATCAACTAATAAACATATTGCTTAAAGTCACTGTCAGTGGCACAGGTGCAGTCATTCCCTTTGATCTCTCACCACGTTACGTATCGTTCTTTTGATATGTCAGTACTGTAGCGGTATATAATTCTCCAAAATTATCAACCTACGCCACTCATCACTCGATGCTGACGTTGGCTATGATCAGCATTCACAAATTTATCATACTGCGCAAGTTGACTGCATACTGACAACTGATGAACTCAGTACACAGAATGACCCTAATCTCTCAAACGCACCCGCAAAATTCAGTCTTCAGTCTTAGAAAGTAGAATATCCAAGCTTCGAATGAAGAGTAGAGTTAGTAATTTTTGACATAGAATACAAAATCAGTGACACTGTAGAAATCACTCCCTTCAGCTAAAAAGCCCATGAAGTCGTCTACATTAGCGAGTAAGCAAAATGGAAAAGAAAACCTCATGCTATGTATACATAAATAGCACTACTAACACAACAACAAACGAGTTAAATCAGAGAAAGTACTAAAAAGCTCTTAACTTTGTGCGCAATAATGTCAGTCAGTGTTTTTAACGCAGAAAAGTGCATTACATAACTCTTTTAAGGCTCACGTCTGTGACTTCAAAAAACTGAACACTTCATCTTTATCAGTCCAAAATACTTTCAAAAATTGCAACCTGCAGAAACGCAAATAAATAAAACCTGAGACAACAAGGGAGAGAAGAGTAATGATAATTAGTACGTAAATTCCACATGAACGTTGTGGAAGAAGTGAGAACAACTAAAATGCAATGAATTATTGAAAGATCTCTCAGTGTGTGTTTGCTACAGTTAACACCCTGTAGAGGAAGTAATGGGTCTCGTAATTATTCGTGACACAACATGTAATTTCTGTCCAAATATGAGCCTTGTTTCCGCTTGCATCTATAGATTCCATCGAATTCTTGCAACCAAAAAAATGAAACACAGGCACGCAATAGCATGAATTGAAACACCTATCGTATTACTTGTCCTCTCAGTGAAATATCAGCTAATTGAAACAGGAAAACCATAGCTGACACAGGCTGTCACTAGGCTGCAAACGAATTGCTTAAATGCTAGTCACGGAGACGTACACGAAGTGTAGTCGTCATACAAAACGATTATTGCATGGAAAACGTATTTAAGCATTCCGCTGCTCATGCAATACATTCATACTTCCGAGTGACTTCGTTCGACAGACTACATCCACCTTGAATCAATCGAGCTGCGAGGATACATGGCAGAAGGCGCAGCTTTAAAATAATTATATACCATATAATCGTCCGAATCTCAGGGTTATGTGAACATATCCAAACACTCATTGGACTGAGAGTCTTCTGAAGAGACTCTTGTGCCAAAGCAATCACCCTCGTTTTCACCGAAATACGAATCACAAATTTTTGATGCTTATCTCCCAGGCTGCACCCATTTAGGGACCACCCGCTTTTCCAAGAAACTTGTTCCTCAGAACCCATCCACGGACAGCTGAAGCCTGTAAATACTGCATGTCGTACAGAGTCCGTGGCCTTGGCCCCCTATCTACATTAAAGTTTTGAAACTTCGCACTTGTTTTTTCGTCATGACTCTGTACGTCGGCTGCTGGACTTTCCATATGACGGCAAAATATTCGGCCTTAAAACCCACTCACCAGTTCTTCACTTGAGGCAAAAACCTTCACGAAGTCAGCATCAGTATCCGCAATTTACGATGTTCTTCCTAGACTCACTCATATGTCCATGAATATTCTCGATATCAGTTAAAAAATCCAGTCGCCACTTGCAATACCAACAACCGGCTAGAAAACCAACTATGAGATCGAGTATTCACCTGAACCTGGGAACATCAAATAACAATCAAAGCTCCTTTCTGGGAAATATTTAGCATTTCCTCGCGCTAAATAAATCTGCTAAAGGCATGAAGATTATCGAAGTGATGAATGACACGTACAATTCCTAAAATCTTACATTTTCGAGGAATAATACCGATTCAAACAGAATATTCAAGTACATATAGGATGTAATACTCTCAAACATGTGCACCGCAAAACACTCAAAGCCTCATGCACTCACAAAAGGGGCCATTCAAATGGATTGCGGATAAAGCCAGCAAGCCAAACTGGGTAATGGATTCGAAGGACTTACCACAGACACGGGCTACACAGACCTGAAAATATCTTCTATTGGCCCCTAACTTAAAATCTTTTAGAAAGTGGGGATGTCAGGGGGAACTAACTATTGTTATTAGTAGTATAGTCAGTGACTGATACAGTCAATGAGATGTTGATAGTATACTTAAGGTTATAAATTTATGTTGCTGGATGTGTAATGCGCTACCCTAGATCGGCAAAAGAATAGTGCTTGTTATTTTTGTGGAAACTGTGTCAATTAAATCTAATTTCTGTGTGTCTAGTCGGTTGGCGTAGATTCGCGTGTTATCTGTTTTCTGTAAGCGCACTTGATTCAAGAGAGACAGCAATCAACAAAATCACTAACACTCCGTCACAACATTTTTGACGACTACGTTATATAGTTCAACAGTCCCATCACAGTAATATCAATTGAACGGCCGTTTTTGTTGAAAACCAGCAGAATTTCACCCAGAAGTTTGAGGCAGATTCACAGAATCACGCTGATATCAGTACGTATTTCTATTCTACAGCTCATGGAACTCATTGCTAGGTATTTTGTTTTTATCTCTACATATTTGGCCTAGTGTAAGTTATCCCGTCGCGATTTAGGTTTTGATTCTCGTCGTTTCGATGTTGCCGCCAGATGTCACCCCCGTTATCAGTTAATAGAATCTTTCAGAATTCTGACGAATGTTGTTTATTTTGAATGCCGGGCGCCATTTACAATCCTTTTTCTTACAAGCAACGCACTCTGTAGTCGTTTGAGCACCCCGATTCTTGATTAAGGTACATCGCTCCAACCGCTGTGGGCCACATGCGAAACGCATCACACCAGAAACAGTAACGTGGAAAAATCTTTTCCATATGCTTTGTTTTAAGACGTGAAACTGTGAATGTCAAGGAAATTTACCAGTTGTTTCATTCACGTACGCCTTAGAGAAGAAGGGTTCTTTAGCAAGTGTCAAGGTGTATTTTTTACAGTCGTACGGTGTCTCAGACTCTGTACTAAATAAGGAGGCAGTTAAGATGAAAACTCAAAATATACCTTGAGACATAGTGGCAGGCGGTTTATTACAAGCATGCTAAAGCCTACCGATACAGAAACTAAGCAGTTGACTAGGATGATTCACATATCAGCCGGCTGATAGTGCGCATTCAGGAAAGAGCCTTCTGTTCTACTAGAACTTGTACATAATATTCTGTCGGAACTGGTTATCACCCACTCACATTTGACAAAATACAACTTCACAATTTATTACCCTTCAATGTCTCTTTCCTAGTAAGAGAAGGGCACTTATCGGAACGGTAAAATTAGCTGGCCTGGTGTAAGTAATTCTTAAATCGTATTCAGTCTGTTACAGTATTTTTCTTTAGTCCGAGTCAGACGTTGGGTGAATCATTAGATGGATGAAGCCGCGCGCTATCGCTCCTATGATAGGACTTAGATTGTGCCCATTTAGTCCTAGTCATTCCATTGCATACAAACATGCTAACCATTAATAGCACTGCCACCCCTCAGCCCATAGATCACATAAATACAGGTGTCTGAAGTTAAATTTGCATGAAAACAGATTAAAAAGGATCTGTCTAAGGATATATGGTCTGTTGTTAATAATAATAAGTAAATCATTATTATTATTATTAACAACAGACCATATATCCTTAGACAGATCCTTTTTAATCTGTTTTCATGCAAATTTAACTTCAGACACCTGTATTTATGTGATCTATGGGCTGAGGGGTGGCAGTGCTATTAATGGTTAGCATGTTTGTATGCAATGGAATGACTAGGACTAAATGGGCACAATCTATGGTCTGTTGTTCTGACGATGTTGACTACAATGGCTTTTACTTGGGTTTTCTGCGCTCCAGGACAAGTGAGACTGTTGTGAGTTAGCATTGAACGTTTTGAGCGCTATTGAAAGGGTCTCAAGAAGCTGACGTTATTTTTATCAGAAAAAGTCAATTGTGGACTCCGCCAAACGTTCTGAGAATCACACCGCGTAGATATTTTATCACATTTTGTCGAGAGTAGGGATAAGCAGGTTCACAATGACATTTGGCATAAGTTGTCGTCAGACATTGTTTCCTCTAATCGTTTACAAACGAATCAGAGAGCCTTGGAACTATTAACAGACATTTACGCTCCAATGCCGGTTTTTGTGCGTGGAGCTGAGGTGTGCTCTGATTTAACCAGCATTCTGACCTTTTATACCAGTCTCCGATTAAAGAAGAACAACAGCCCTATTATTAAAAAACACACTAAACTTTCATTTTTTCAAAGAAGTGCTCTTATAAAAGAAGAAGGTATACTATGAAATCAGCATAATGTAGCTACAAATCTGATGACCCTTCAAACACTAAGTGACCGCAACCTTTCTTTTCACTTCTGGTGGTAAAAGTAATTAAGATGATAACTGAAGATGAAGCTGAAGTGGTTGTCACAGCCGTTCTCTACTAAAAGTGAGCCTTAAATGGACTACTGCGAAAGATAAATGGACAAGGAAACTGCCTTGGGATTCGCTTCCATCGTCAGCCAAAATTGGAATTTCGATATTACTTAACTTCCGAATAGTAATAAAAGTTTTAGGTACGACGGTGAGACATCTGTTAATTTTATGGATTTATTTGCACATAACGAATTCACTTTGCAAGCAAAAGATCTAGAAGAGAATTCCAATCAGAATTTGACCATCTCTTTTACTAAGTTAGTTTCGTTTGTTGCTGTTGTTTGTATAAACCCAAACGTCCAATCAGCGCAGATATAAAATATACGCTACTCGGGCAGCATTGAAACATCTTCCGCATGTAAGACGCATTTAGTGTTTTTAGCCCCAGGAGTAGCAGTTTTCGCTTAGTAGTACTACACGATGTCTTTTTAGACAGTGAGCCTAGTGACAATAGTGCTGTGTATCAACAGTCATGTGTACATAATGTACTACACCTAAAATGTGTTTCGAATGTTGGTGTATTTACACTTTCTACATAAAAATTGTTATTTACCACCTGACATCAAAGACTGAACTTTTTGGTTAGATAATAGTGATGCCAGTTTTCATAGGTATTTCAACGCATGAGAATTTCTTCAGGATCTTCAAACTGTATTCTGAGTCACTTAGTCCCATATAATTTTGTGTTACGAATGGGGTAGCCAAATAGCACAGTCGTTTAAGTTTAGAGCACTTATAATAACAAACCTTTGGAAAGGTAATAAGATCAGTGTGACATCTGGGTTCTGAGGTTAGAGTATAGATGCAAACGATAATGTCTTGTATCACTGACTGACTTATTATGTGAAGTACATGTACCTGTCGCTTTTACCACATGTACTTAGTTTTCATGTTATCAAACCAAATATTTTGATTACAGGTTTCCAGACCATAGGTGTTACGAACTTCCTGGAATAATTTGAGCGCCGAGTCAAATTGATTCATTATAAATTATTTAAATTAACACGCTGGGATTAAGTTAAATAGTTTACAATAAAATACTTTGGTCACTCATTTGCGCCACCTAATCAATAATGAACACTTGTCTTAAGATGTAGCTAACAATCTTGTGATAAATAGTCAAGTGACCACATTTTCGAGAGTATAAGTACTGTAGTTTAGATCTGTGAAGCGCCTATTCCCAACTATCAGTCCTTGCCTTCTAATGTAAGGAAATGGTTATGCATTTATACCCTATTTCATTAATCATGAGGATAAGAGTGCGGCTTACTGTCTTGGGTATTTCACTCTTGGCTAATCGATTTGGAATTTCGCTGCACCTACTACAGCCTCAGCCGCTTAAGTAGCATCAACCCTCATATGCATTCCCTGTAATCTAGAGAGAGGTGAACTGCAGTTGTATAGAACTTTATAGGTAAATACTCCTAATCTCCCGAAAGTGTTCTACGTAGCGTTCAAAAACTACGGTTTCATTTGATTCAATAAGTACTTCAGTGAGCTAGGCAAAAGTAAAGTTTCATGACACAATGAACTTCTGGTTTTCTTTTTATAGGTGTATAATTTCCCTTGATTAGAACTCAGTTATGCGGAACGGATTTATAACGTTACAGGATCTGAGCGTCACTCATCGCACAAAATTTGGTGATATTACTCAACCGGGCTGAAGTAGATAAAGTGGAGCTTGAAACTGGGACTCGTTGACTATAACTGGGAAGCCTAAGTCAATGGAACATCCGATGTTTCCTAGTTCAGGACTCGTAGTTATCTCATTATAATCCTTAAGGAAATCATGTTCATAATAATGCAACATAGTGAATGTTTCATTAGAACTATTATCAGCCCAAGCGCTCGGCTTTAACCAATTATGTCATAAGTTGGACCCGTGGTCTACTACTGGATAGGGTCGTCAATCCCCACAATAATAACGACTCATACGTCAATATCTCAGGATTTGTCTTGAGTCACTGAGTTTCAAACACTAATGCACTTTTAAATGGCATACAAATCAGTGATTGGTTGAGATCGTTATTTTAACTACTAACTAGGAGCGTCTTTAATTTTCTTTATTTCATAAATTCGACTCCGTTGTGGTTCATAGTTGTTCCATGTTTTTCATGCTCTTTTCAGCTGCAATTGCTTATTTCGTACTGACTATCCTACATTTATAATAGTGACATCTGACATCTTTTTTAAGCTATAAAATGGATACTGATTTATATGATGAGTTCGGAAATTATATTGGACCAGATCTTTTGTCAGATGAAGAAGCGGACGGTTTTTTGGAGAGTGCTGAAGATGAAGACATAGAGAATAATGTTGATCATGAAGAAATGAATGGTGAAATACAGGAAGAAAGCTTGGCCGTAAGTTGAATTACAATTGATTCAGTCTTATATATAATTTTTAAAATTAGTAGTGTTCATTCTTATTCTGTGCGTCGGTGGCATAGCGGTTAGGACGCTCGTCGACCATGCACATGGTCCGGGGTTCGATCCCGGCCGACGCACTCCCTTACCTCGCTAAGCCAGAAATAGGACTGGTAAAGAGGAAAGGTTGGGCATGAGACCAGCAACCCCATCCTGTAAAATAAACACTGCTACAGAAACTTCAAGCCACTAGCTTGGAATCCTATGTTCCACTGGGGATCGTGAAGGGAAAAAATTCTTACGTTCTATAACTACTAGAAACTTAATTTTCATAAAACTATATTTTTGCGTCTTAGGCATACATTATTTCAATAATTTGTGCATAGGTTGACACTCAGATGAAATGCTCTCATGGAGCCATAGATTAGTGATGTTTTTGCAGGGTATATAAAAGAAGGTCATCAACGAATGTTGGAACTTTCTTTGGAAATGGAACTAGTGTCAAGCACAGGGTTAAGCATCTGAAAGATAAGAATGGTCTCTAAATTCATTTCATTCAACTTTGTCGTTTATATTCAAGTATTGGATTGTAGGGATTTGATTGCTTGATTACAGGATTTCATCATCAGATGACATTGGTTAGAGAACCAAATCCCTACAAACCAATACTTGAATATTAATGAGATGCTCACTGGCGACTGTCTCTATTCAGGTAGGTAGTTACCTGGGGTCCCAGTGGGAAGTCGTGACCAGTAGGGCGCAGCAGGTCGGTTGTGAGGACAAATACTCGCCGAAGACATTGGCTAGCGGTTGCGCTATATCGTGAATTTGTCGTTTATCGTTGGTCTATACATTACACCAGGCTTCATACCTTGGTTTGAACAATCAGGCAATATATTTAGCCCTCGAAAGTGTTAGTATATATATATATATATGCGCACTGTTACTGAGTTGGACCATACATTTCAAGTGCAAAAGTTCTTAAGCACATTGTTGAACAAGAAAAATGAATAAGCGATCACGAAGGCAGTTTGGCGAAGTACATTTTGTTTTATTTTACAGTTATCAAGACAGCCTTCGCATAATAACTGACAAGCTATTCGACATTGTCTTAAAGCAGCAAGTCGTGTTTTCTTTGTGATCCCAACTTGAGAATTGCAAGACAACAACTAATGGTTCATCAGAGTAGTTGTCCATTTCATTAGGGTACATATGATGACTACTGTATATGATTAGCAAATTTAAATTAAAAAGATCTATTTTACTGGATAGTAATTTGTTGAGATGTTGACATCCAAACCATTAAATATGGTGTTACAGGATGATAGTACTAGTAAATTCCTACCTTAATCATTTCCCAATACATTTGGTTTTCAGAACCAAATGCATTATCATCTAAAATGAATAATCCTATTTGAGCACTAGTTGCCAAAAAAATATTCGTCACGCTTTATTTCGAAAATGTTGAATCTCTCAGCCTAAGAGCAAGCCGTATCATACTCTGATGATCCTTAGATTGGTTCTGACTGGCGGTCTGGGATGTGTAAACATTTTAGTTTCCAATAACGTGCAATTTTTAAGTAATCTGGGGCACTAACTGGAACAGAAAACCCAGCAGTTGGTAGTCGGTTGGGCGGAATTTTGTTGATGCTATTAAACAAATAACAATAATTTCATCTAGGTATTGGTAAAAGAGAGTAATCATTTTACATTGTATATTACTGATTATATATAACCATAAAACACACTCTCTCTCTCTCTCTCTCTATATATATATATATATATATATATATATATATATATATATATATATATATATATAACTTCATTGGCCTTCATTTAATTATATATCAGTAGACAAAGCCTGGCGGCTGTCGTATGTAGCTATTCTTAAAAGGAGCTGCTTTTTAAACACGCGTTTTCGACAACAGCTGGTTACGTTACTCCATTTTTTGTTGTTGCTGTAGCAGCAACAAACAGTTTATCCAGCATATAACTGCTTGAATCTTATGCACATAAACTCTTCCTTTATCCCTTTGGTATTAGGTTGTTCTTCATGAAGATAAAAAATACTACCCAAGTGCATTAGAAGTTTATGGTCCTGAAGTTGAAACTTTGGTACAAGAGGAGGATGCCCAGCCGTTAACACAACCTCTTATAGAACCTATTCAGCGTAAAAAGTTTGCTTATTCTGAAGCTTCGATCCCGATAACTACTTACGATCCGGAATTTCTGGCTGATCTTATGGATTGTCCTGACCTAATTCGTAATGTTGCTCTTTGTGGACATCTTCATCACGGCAAGGTATGTATAGAATCTCACTTAGTATGACCTCTTATAGACGTCCTTAGTAGATTGCTTGATAGAGGTTACTCATCCTGATATTGAAGCAAAAGAAGACAAAAATGTAAGCATTTTTTGGTTGTCGATTTATTTATGTGTCGTTTGGTAAAGTGCATTTCCTTTGTTAATAAATCCAGGTAAATTTGTATAGTATTAATCGTTTTCTGAATTCAACCACACATTTGAGAACACTAGATTCCTATTACATCTTGTCAAATCAAAAACTAGTAAATAGAAATATATTATTCTTAGCTGCCCTTAATTAATTCACTATTTGTATATCACTTGTCTCTGCGTAAACACTGAAGCAATAGAGACGATAATCGAAATTAAGACATACATTCGGGTTTTGCTTTTATTCAGACAAGCATGTATTGCAGTAAATCATTGTCAGGAATTCCACGGTCCTGTCGAGATTTCTCTTACCTTAGCACTAAACACAAATTTGCATCCAGAGGATTGACTATCGATAGGGCGAGTAAAGAAACAAATATGGTTATGTCAGTGAGGAAGTAAACAAACAGCTAGGTAGGTATTATCGGAGTAAGAGCTCATATTACTATGTCATGAGTCACGTTACCACATTAAGACAAGAGGAACACCAAAGAAAAGTGACAGTGAAAGAGCATAGGTGTGTAGTACTTCTGCTGTTTAGTTGAAGACGGTATGTGAAGTTATATGCTCCGTTAAGATGTTTTGTAAAATATGGTATAGGTCCTCCAACACACGATCCAATATTTTCTACATTATTCACTACCACAACTGAAAGTTTAATTCTATCTTCCATATGATGCTTTTCTAGCTGAAGTAATGTCTAGAGTGAGGTAGTAACTAATACTCACAACCCAACTTTTATGACTTCTTTTTGTAGTGCTTAATTAGTATGCGTTCGGAAAATCTGTATCAAACGTCTTGACGTTTTCAGCTCTTGATGATTCTGTTTCACAATAAAAATTTAAGTTTAGGCAGACCAGTTTTTTTCTAATTTACTCACCATGATTGTGTTTCCAAGTTGAGGACGTGGTGTTTAAGTTGTTTCTTTGCTAAGGTGTTATCTAGTTAGTGCTTCCTAGTTTTTCAGTTTTTTTCTAACTTCCTGGTAGTTTGGATAAATTCTCAGTGGTAACATTAGGAATAAAGATACCGTCAGAGATGAACAGTTGCTGCTGTGTGAATATGTATGTGAATTTCAGAAACATTTCGGTCGATCACGTAATTTTTCACCCTTGTGAACACATGGTTCTCAGAAGTTAAAACTATTTTGAGCCATGATTGCATACAAAAAAGTGAAACCTATATTTAAGAGGTACACAGTGTGAAATATCGCTATATATATATACATATAAGATAGACTGTACTTTTACTCGGTTTTTGCTCCAGATAACTTATCTTTTCTATTGATGTCAGTACTAAGTTTTATTATTATTATTGTATCCTTTAGTTCCTAGAGGAACATAGGGCTTCAGCTGCGCACCTCCATTGACTTCGGTTTTCTGACAACTTTTTCACCCTGCTCCAGGTCTGCCCACATGCTTTCATCTCCTCTTCACATGACCTCCTCCAAGTCACCCTTGGACGACCAACTCGCCGCCTCCCTTTCGGGTTCCACTCGAGGGCTTGTCTAGTGATGTCACTTGATGGTTTCCTCAGCGTATGGCCAATCCATCTCCATTTCTTTCTGCCTATTTGTTTCACAATCGGTTCCTGATTGGTTCGCTCCCAGAGATCCCTGTTGCTGATCTTTTCTGGCCATCTGATCTTGAGTATTGAGCGGAGACAGCTGTTAATGAAGGTTTGAAGTTTGTTTGAGATGCTCTTTATGACTCGCCAAGTCTCTGATCCGTATAGTAGCACTGACTTCACATTGGAGTTGAAAATCCGGATCTTATTTTTGATGCTGAGTGCTGTTGACCTCCACACAGATTTGAGAGTAATGAAAGCTTGTCTTGCTTTTCCGATTCTGGCTTTGATGTCCTCGTCAGTTCCGCCTGTAGTTGAGACGATGCTTCCCAGGTAGGTGAAGGAGGTTGTTTCTTTCAGGTTCTTCCCATTTATGCTTATTGTTGTCTGTTGTTGTTGTTGCTGTTGATGTTGGCTAGGAATCTTCATCATCTCTGTTTTATCTATGTTCACGTGAAGTCCTATCTTTGATGCTTCTTCTGCCAACTTGTTACTTTTCACTTGCATATCTTCCAGTTTATGGGAAATCAGACATATATCATCGGCGAAATCCAGATCCTCCAAGTCTTTTGTGTCAGTCCATTTTATGCCTGTTCCCTCGTTGGTTGCCGTTGTCTGTCGCATTATCCAATCAATTGCAATCAGGAAGATCATTGGTGATAGTAGACAGCCTTGCCTCACTCCCGTCCTCACTTCGAAGGCTTCCGTAAGTTTCCCGTTGTGGATTACTTGGCATGCAGCATTGTCGTATAACTGTTGGATGAGGTGTATAATTGTCGATGGGACCCCGTAGTAGCGAAGTAGTTTCCAAATGACCTCTCGATCGACGCTGTCGAAGGCCTTTTCAAAGTCGATGAAGTTGAGATAGAGAGGTGACTGCCATTCCAAGCTTTGTTCAATGATGATCCGTAGAGTGGCGATTTGATCAATACATGATTTGTTTCTCCTGAATCCAGCCTGTTCCGGACGAAGTTTTTCATCTAGGGCTTGTTTGATTCTCTCCAGGATGATGCGACTTAGTATCTTGCTTGGAATGGACAGAAGCATAATTCCACGCCAGTTTTTACATTGACTTAAGTCTCCTTTCTTTGGAAGTTTGAATAAGTATCCGTTCTTCCAATCCTCGGGTACTTTGCCCTCTTTCCACACCTTCTCCAGCAGTGGTGTCATCAAGTCCGCTGTTGTCTCTGGGTCTATTTTCAAAGCCTCTGCTGGGATTCCATCTGGTCCCGGTGTTTTCCCAGCTTTTAGCATCTTGATTGCATTCAGGACTTCTGATTTCGTCGGGGGGTCAGTGTTCACTGGTAGTTCTGCTTCCGTTGTTGGTATTGCTGGACGTGTTGTAGGTGGCGGACGATTTAGAAGTCTTTTGAAGTGTTCAACCCAGTGCTTTCTCTGTTCCACCTCTTTGGTGATTGACTTTCCATTGTCGTCCTTTATTGGCTTAATCTGTGTCGAACGTTTGCCCGAAAGGTTCCTAGTTGTTTGGTAGAGTGTGGCGAGGTCTCCTTTGCCTGCAGCTTGTTCTGCTTCGTTTGCCATGGTTTCATAATATTTTCTTTTGTCTTCCCTGGCACTTTCTTCACTCTTTTGTTCAGTGTATTGTAGCTTGCATTCAGCTCCTGTTTTTGTTGCTCGTCAGTGCACTGGATAATCTTTTGCTTCACTGTCCTTCTCTCTTCTATTAGTTTCCAAGTGTCCGTAGTGAGCCACTGTTTGTCCTGTCTCTTTTTTCTGCCTAGAATTTCTATGCAGGTTTGGCTCCACACCGTTTTCAAGTTGTTCCAGTGCTTTTCGACGCTGACCTTTCGCTGGTGTTGATTTGTGTCTCGGCTTTGTCCTTTATGCTTGCAATGAAGATGTCCTTTGTAGCCTGGTCCTTCAGCTTTTGAGTGTTGAACTTGGCTTGTGGTCTATCTGCAGCTCCTGATTCCCTGAAAGCTTTTAATTTGATTTGGATTGTCCCTTGTACGAGATAGTGGTCTGAGCCAACGTCTGCTCCTCTTCTTGCTTTTGTGTCCAGTAGGCTGCGCCTCCACTTCCTTGAGATTGAGATGAAGTCGATTTGGTTTTTGGTTTGCCCGTCTGGTGACACCCATGTAGCCTTGTGGATATCTTTGTGCTTGTATACACTGCCACCAATCACCAGTTCGTTGAAGGCGCAGAAGTCGGCGAAGAGTTCTCCGTTTTCATTCATTTCTCCTAGAGCTTCTCTACCCATGATGAGTTCCCTTCCTGTGTTGTCTGGTCCCAGTTTGGCGTTCATGTCTCCCAGCTGGAGTATTGTCCATTGTTGCCTGTAGAATTCTTTTTTCTTTTCGAGGTCTGCGTTGTTTGTGGGTGCATAACATTGTATGATTGACACTTTCCTTCCTTTGGAGTTGAATCTGGCGGTCATTATCCTGGACGAAATCGCCTCCCATTGTATCAGGGCTTTCGTTGCCGTTGGTGACATCATGATAGCCACGCCCTCGGTGTGCGTGTGGTTATCTTCTGGGTGACCGGAGTAGATCACTGACTCACCCGTTGACAATTTGGTGAGTCCACTCCCATTCCATCTGCTTTCACATATTCCCAGCACTTGTATTCCGTATCTTTTCATCTCGTTGGCGATCTGGGCAGCTTTCCCAGTCTCGTACATAGTTCGGACGTTCCATGTTCCCACACAGACTTTTTCTTTTGGTGCAAAGAGGTTCATCGTGCTGAAGTTTCTGTAGCAATTTTGTTTACAGGGTAGGGTTGCTAGCCTCACGCCTGAGAAAGGAATGATTACATTAAGTTAAAGTTTAGAGAGAAGCGACTTTTTGGGTTGCTCCCCTCAAAATCGGAAAATAACTAAGTTTTAAGTCGTGTCTAATTTGCAAAGTCCGAGGTTAGTTTATGGTTATTCAGTTGAAAGTTCATCGTTTATATTTTGAACGGTGTAACCACTGATTATTAGGTTGGTTAAACATTCAAATATTTCATATGTTAATATTTAGTATTATTTCAGTACTATCTCTGACTTTCCTTGTTAGTATTGTCAGTTAAGTATTAATGCTATATATTTACGTGATAATATCTAATTTCATTTTGCAGCTAAGGTACACGGACTTTCTACACATGGAAGTGGAAAGAGGATTAAGCATAAAATCCACTCCGGTCACCATGGTGCTTGGTAACTTACATGAGAAGTCGTATCTATTTAACATTCTGGATACTCCAGGTTGGTTGAAATATCTTTCACTCTTGTTTCCCACTGTAGAGTCTCATTAAAATAATAAAATACTGTAGTGATATAGTGATAGTTCCACTATTCATTCACCCGAAAACATTCATATTTCCAGTATCGTTCTCAATCGTTCCGTGAATAGTTATTTTCAAGTTTCAGGTATTTAACTAGTGCTAAGCTGGAAAAGCTAATGGGAGTCAACTGTTTTGTTAACAGTGCCCATTCATAAATGCGTGGAGTGTCGATCGCAGGACAATTAGGTTATCATTTAGTCACTAAACTTTCAAATGTCAAAGATATGTATTTGACTATTCGTGATTCGTCCCTTCTGAAAATAACTCGCTTAAGAAGGTTAAATGAGATAGCATTAAACTAATCCATCATATCATTCACTTTATGCAGTTTTGTTCCCCAAACTAAATTATACATAATGGAGTTCAATTGTCACGTAGAGGTGGGCAGAAATAATAAACAGTGAGTAATTAAAATCTCGAATTGGAGGTTTTGAAAAGATCTGCAAATTTATAAAGATTCAAAGGCCTTTATTGAAAATTAGTAACACTTGAACTATATTACCACAAAACTAAACTCACAGTTTCAACAAATGAAGTTCAAAATAACTTTATTAATTCTTTTTCTTTACGTCGTAATTGACTTTTCTTATGGGAGAGGCTAAATTTCACGGTTGTGCAAAATCCTCTCTTAATTTTAGGTCACGTGAATTTCTCCGACGAAGTAACAGCTGCTTTTCGACTAGTTGATGGAGTTTGTTTAATGGTTGACGTCAGTGAAGGTATACTTTTGAACACTGAACGTATTCTGAAGCACGCGTTGCAAGAGCGTTTACCCGTGACATTATGCATCAATAAAATAGATCGTCTTATAATTGAATTGAAGTTACCCCCAATGGATGCCTACTACAAAATTAAGCATATAATTGATGAGGTGAATTCAATACTTTTAACCTACTTTGAAGGGGCAGGTAAGTCAGATATCTTTTTTAAAATCTAATTGCAGGTTTTTTTAATATCAAAATATCACAGCATTGGATATCATTAAATTAATGTGAGAAAATTTAAAATTGGTTTTAATTAACTACAATTGATTCATCACATCTAAAAGGAGCATGAACCATCTGACAGTTTTCTTGCAGTTTCTATTTTCAAATCTTTCTCTTAACTCAAATTACTGAAAAAGAAATTGTAGTGTTGTGTGTTTTTATTAAAAACCGTACTTTTTGTGATTCAGTTTGCAGTATAAGAAATGGGACTGAATGTCAACTACTCTGTAAACTGAGCCAGCCAACTGTGTATTGTATTACTCACACAGAACTTGTACAATATGGCGTCACGCAGTAATAATAAAACTATGAAATAAAGGTAGAAAATGAATAAACGACTTCATCTGGGAAGAAAGCATTCGTCGGATTATTTGTCAGAAAGGGAAGAAAGAAGAAAATTGTTGCACGATCACCATTGATTGCGATTCCTGGCCACAGCCGATAGCGTTTCGAGTCACCGATTCTAGGTGCCTCTCGAACCTCAACTAGGGAGTCATGACGCACCAACCGATTCTAACCTACCACAAATATCTTTCATCCCACAACGCCAAGTCATGTACTGACGACCTCCGCTTTTCCCATCCCGTCCCGACAGCAGGGCTAACGTCGTGGTGGCGCCAGAAGTGACACAAACTAGCGTACACCACCTTAGCTTTCATGATACAGTTAGAAATCTCATTCGTCACCCCTCCACCAGCACTCACACAAATACCTGCATACACAAACATCGAAAACTTTAAACGGTTCACCTGCAAGAGTGAGTGCAGGTACAGACTCCTGACAATCTTGTAATAGTACTTTGCATTTAGACTGTGCAAAGTACATACCATACTTACAGACACTGGCCGCCGACTGACTGAGTGCGATTTAGACAGCCTGCATGCTATCAAACAGTAAGGCGATATCGTCTGCATACTCGAAGTCGAAAAGTCTTCCCTCAGGAAGCAGATCTACACGGTCACCACGCACGTCCTCCGAAGCTGACTTCAGAATACCATGGATACCAAAGTTGAGGATAAATGGAGAGATCGTGTAACCTTGTCCAACCCCACTGTTGGTTGGAAACAGTGAATACAGATGGTTGTATATCCCCACTCTACCTCAGGTATTTCTGTATAGAGCTTTCATGATGTTAGCAAACCTCTTATTTACACCCTTCTCTATCAAACAGTTCCGGAGAACAGTTCTATCCAACGAGTGAAAGGCAGCCCTAATATCAAGAAACAAAACGATTATTGGTCTGCAATACGTGCGACGGTGTTCCAACAACTGAGGAAGGGTGAACACATAATCAATACATCTAAGGCCTAGACGAAATCTAGTCTGCTCTTCGATAGTCAACTCCTCACATATTTCGCATAGCCTGCGAAGCAAAATAGCAGCCAATATTTTAGATGCGACTGGTAGCAAATTAATACACCTATGGTTGTCGTACGTGTTGCGTCGGCCCTTTTAAAAGATTGGGACAATGATGGCTTCATTCCACACTGACGACACCTCAATTTCCCACACTTTCCTGAATAATCCAGATAAAGCTATGACAAGAGTCTCGCACTATCCTTATGAAGAACTGGAGGTAGATTGTCTGGGCCGGGTGCCGTATGGCGTTTCAGTCCTTTGAGTTCCTTTCAGATCTCCACTTCTATTGGTGGGTCAGTAGTGATTGACCAAGGAGCAGTGGAAGTGATGACGGTGGATACTGGAGCTGATGGCTAGACAAACTGCTTCTCAAAGTGCTCAGCCCAGCGTTACAGGAGTCTTTCCAAACTGGTAACTGGCATGCTATCTGCGTCGCAGGCTGTCACGCGGATACCCTGTTTCTTGCCGCAGGTGGCTCGGATGAGCGGGAAAGCTTTCGGTTGCTGCCAGATTCAGCTGCTGACTCCATTTCACACGCATACTGTGACCACCAGGATTTGTGGTCTTTACTTAAACTATGTCGTTCTATCTGGTTTGGATTCTCGAGTCTGCATACGCCATAGTAACTGCTTTTATTTTAACAGCTATCCAAACAACCTCCCTAGCGTGGTGGGACCTGCAGGAACATAAGTCCCAGTTAGTGTAGCTTGTTGGATAATCGCGGTATTCAAGCCCGACCATCATGACAAGATGGCAGTTGTCGGCCAGGCTGATAGTGTTGGTGGAGATAGTTAATCATGCTACGTCCCCGTTTAGACCGTTAATTGGTAATATACACTTCAAATACACCACATTCATACAAAGCTGTCAGTCAAATCACTTGGTCATAACTATGATATTTTGACTAGGACTTTTTCGAAAATTCATCTGATATTCTGTTGGTGTGTGTAATTGCTCTAATATTTTAAAGTAACTTGATGTTGTTTTCCGGTTAAGATTGCGTTTTCAACTCTGATACATTGGTATACGACAGTGAACATCTGTTTAGTGATTTGCCTTTTTGAATAACTTTGTAGTTTTGAGTCAAACTTTTTCATTTTATTGTTTTGTGTGCATGTACATTTTATGCAGGTACTACCGATGACACTCAATCTACTGTCAGTCCGTTATTAGGAAATGTGTGTTTTGCGAGTACATATTACCGTTTTTGCTTTACGTTGGAATCATTTGCAAAAATCTATATGGATACATTTGCTAATGGGATGGATTACAAAGAGTTTGCTAAACGTTTATGGGGTGATATATACTTTAATTCTAAAACGTAAGATATCATTTCGTTTTATTTTATCATGTATTGTGTCTTAACAATTTTTGATCTGCAATTTACTGCGACTTTATGTGGAATAAATTTTTGGGCTGATCATTTACTACTACTTTCTGAGTTCATTTTAATGTGGCACTAATTTGTCTGCCAGATCTAGATGAGTTGGGCATAAAAATTTACGCATTGATTCAGTCACTAGTACTTTATGTTCGCTATTCGTCGCATTGTACTATTACACTGTCCTAAATCACTGCTGTAGTTGGTAATTTTTAAACAAGTTCCAATATTATGGGTTCTAAAATGGTAAAGTGGTAGTAGTATGAAATTACTGTGACGTTTAAAAAACAATAATGTCTTTTTGCAAAGTCACGCTCTTAAGTTGAAGTAATGCTCAACAAGGCGTACTAGTGATACAACGACTAGAGGCCAATGTGTGTACTGAATATTTTAATCGTGAAGTTTTCCTTAGTATTGTGATCAAAAAAATTCTACCGTTTAACTGTGTAAAACAATAAATTCACCAATACCGAAGGGAATCCTCCTGCTCTCCGGATAATTTTCGTCGTAATTAGAATACACTATGCAAATCTGTAGATATAAAAACGTTACATTCATGCACACTGTATGAATTAATAAAAAGTTATCTAAAGATTGACATAATTCAAAGAAATATGGTGAACGCAAAAAAATAAGCAAATAACATGCACAAAAGAAAAATATGCGCCAGTTTTTCAGGGTTGTGATAGTTTTTTTTGCCATGGATCTAAGATATTTGAGCTTTCATTTTACTTATTTGCAGACGTCGGTTTCAAAAGCGCCCACCCACCCCAAGTTCTCAAAGAACGTTTGTAGATTTCATTCTTGAGCCTTTATACAAAATTTTCGCCCAAACTGTTGGCGACGTTGACACTCGTCTACCGTCACTGTGTTCAGAATTGGGTATCTATTTGACAAAATCTGAGATGAAGATGAATGTACGCCCTCTTCTACGTTTGATTTTCAAACGGTTCTTCGGTGATTTCTCTGGTAAGTTTGAAAGTGTTAACACTAATTTCTATTACAGCGTAACTTCGAAAATCTCCCGCTTTCATCATTATGGTTGTTTTTGATTACTATGTAAGATTGCAAATTATACGTCCGAGCAAAATCTTATATTTGCATTGTATTAGCTCATGGTATCGGTAAATAATCGTGTTATGTGGTCGATCAGTTGTACCAATGTTTATATTTTTATTATGAGTAATTTAGTGTACATTCTTATCCTTGTATTGCTTTACTTCACTTTGTTGTCTGTATGTTGGATTCTTTGAACCTCTAATGTTTATGTTCAAGACTTTTTAGGCTGAACTGAATTCTGGACGTAGGACTTTACACAAAAGTGCAGCAGTTCAAGTTGCCAAACTTCATAAAGGTACAGAAAAAAATGTGGAACTACAATAAACGGATTGTTTGGCAGAAGGGAGTGATTTCATGGAAAATAATGAGGATTCAGTCTATACGCAAGATCCCCATGAATGAATGCATGTTAGCCGTTACGAGTCATGTCACCAATTGCACGTAATCGTTAATTCTTAGCATCTCAATAGCGCCAACCACACAGTCTGCACGTCCCTACTTTTTTTAAACCAACAGCCAACGAATTCACTGATTGTCAAAGCACACTGTATAGTCATTTGGACTGGAAATTTTTTAGCGTATGATATTCGCCCACAGATCTTAATCCTCAATATCAGTACTGATATCTTTGTCTTTGATATAGTTAAAACAGGTGACTTAGCATAAACTTTATAAGTTTCTGAAATTTAAAAATAGCGCGAATACGCAAAGGTAACAATACAAAAACAATTGTCATTCACGCAAGGAAATAGCGAACAATATTGATGTGTAGGACAAAATCATTAATGAATCACATTTACATACGTATAAGAGAATAGAACACAACAGTCATACAAGACCACCGTTTAGTGGTGGGAGTTTACGTAAAGACAACGTTTAATCAATCACGACAGACAAATCATATTGATTAGTGATGTGTCATAATGTCTGTCTGTTTGTCGCGGTTATCATGAAATTTTACATGTTTACTATTTCCACGTAGCGCTGAAAAGGAAATATGCTTCGTTGATAACGTGACGTGCCTTAGGACTTCTTGTTTACCTATATTCCTATTCCCCTTTCTGGACTGATTTCACCTCGAAATCTTTGTAGGTAGCTTTGTAAGAGTGAGACAAAAATCTGTAGTAGTGTGTACAAAAGCTTTTCTATCTGAAATAGACGTCCATAGGGTTTAAACAGCTGAACAGACTATTTCCATCGGTTACATCTATTTTTCAATTATTCATAAGTGTAAATGTCCATCAGTTATCATATTTTGAACTTCATCAATTTTATCGTTTGCCGATAGGCAGTGTTTTGTTGTGCTTGTTTTTTATTTAACGAAAAATCTTGTAGTTCCTGTTATTGAATTAAAAAAAGCAATGTAAATTATTTGCATTCTTATAGGATTTGTGCATATGTGTGTGGAACATATACCAAGCCCGCGTAAATCAGCCCTGACAAAAGTGGAATCAACGTATACTGGCGCATTAGACAATGATCTCGCACATGCTATGATCAAATGCAATATGGATTATGAAAAAGTTATGGTTCATACTACTAAGTTGTATCCAGATCAAGAAGCTATTTCTTTCCATGCTTTCGGACGTGTCATGTGTGGTACATTATTCGCTGGCCAAACTGTTCGTGTCTTAGGGGAAAATTATACACTAACTGACGAAGAAGATTCTCGACCAGCTACAGTAGGTCGTTTATGGGTGTCTGTTGCACGGTAAGTACTTTCGCTCTGATATCATAGTATTATAATTAAATACGGCCTTAATTTTTAGTAACTTCTCTGTATTTTTAAATTCTTCTTCCCATTAGACATCAGCAACACAAGTGAAATGTCTACTGTGTTAATACTAGATACGTTTTTTGCAACTCCGCAAAACGTCACGATATCAGTGTACACATAACTTGTGTTTGGTATTGTAGAATATGCAAATCTGATATTCTTCAGGAGCGTAGTTTGCCAAACTGTCTTCAATTCACAGGCTCAAAATGTTACCAGCTTTCATTCAGGAAAGAAATAGTTAAAATAACTTTGCTATTGGCACTGTGGTCGAGTATAATTCCACTACAGAGTACATTTATTTAATAAAGTCACAGTTTTATCAAGTCCTTGATATTATAGTGAGCAATAAATTGTTCTTCAGAATTTCATCAACAAATAATACCGCACAACACTGACTACTAAATAAATTTACTCTATAATGCAATTAAAATAACTTCATTGCTTTGGGCTATTAATTTTATGACGTATTAGTGCAGATGTTGAATTTATTTAACAGAATTGTTTTCACGATTAGTTTCTGTCTTTTCTACTCATGCGTTAAAAGAATAGAGTGGTTTCCACATACTTTCAGAGCTATTTGGTTCACAATTTTCCGATTAGAAGAACATATTATCGAAGCAGTTCTAAAACTGTAGAAAATATTTACTCAGTTCTTTCTGGTGTCATTTTTTCACCATTGCAAGGAACAAAAATATCTCATTGAGTGCTCTTTATACTCTTGTAATGTGGCTTCAGGTTTTTTATTAGTTTCTATTTTGTAATCTATTTAAAGCACTCCTCGCTAAGGAGTGTTCTGACCACTCCTAATCAACTAATTTTCTTTTTTAATCCTTATGTGAATGTCTCCTTTTCTATTTTAAGTTATCGGTTAGAGGTTAACCGTGTACCCGCTGGTAATTGGGTTTTGATTGAAGGAGTGGATCATCCTATCGTGAAAACGGCCACATTGACATCAATGAATGCTCATGGTGCGCAGATCTTCAGACCTCTCAACTTTAACACTGCCTCAGTTGTTAAGATTGCAGTTGAACCTGCGAATCCTTCTGAGCTGCCAAAATTATTAGATGGTCTTAGAAAAGTAAGTATCCTAACATATGTAGTGTTCTAGGAGCCATATTCCATGTATTAAAACTCATTGAGTGTTGTTAATAATATTTCATATTTCAAAATGCTCATACTTGCACTGCAAATCACTAATAAAATATCCGTTTGCATAATTTACTATAAATACAACGTTTCCCAATAAGTATGAAATCATGACTTATTAGTTAGTATTCAAGTTGTAAACCAGGTAATTTACTGGCTATTTCAGTCTCCCGTACAACATACATACATACATGTCTATTATGCCATATATTGTCTCATTTCAGGTCAACAAGAGTTATCCTCTATTGGCAACTAAAGTTGAAGAATCTGGTGAACGTGTAATACGTGGCACAGGAGAACTATACTTGGACTGTGTTATGCATGATTTGCGAAAACTTTACTCTGATATTGGTGAGTTTTTATAAGTTTGGAAATTATTTCCAAATATTTGTTTCATTGACCAGTGACAAGTGAAATACACACCACTGCCAACTGCATACAGTTAGTTACCTTGATCAACTTGGATAACGCAATGAAAATGTATTTTATTTTCTTGTGATTTAGTGACTAGTTTGAATATTTCTCCTTCATGTTTTCATTAGTGAAACGTTTGGGGTAACTGTTCTCAGCAAGTGTTGAACTTAGAAAAGAAATATCTATCAAAGCATTCTGAAGTACGAATCTTTTTTATCATATAGAAACACTGCATTATTCCAGAGAGAGGCATCCTTCTACACAAATTGGTAATTTGTCCTACCCATGTAAGTTTGCGCTGGGGTATTCAGTGTCACACTTACTGCAAATACATAACTGCTAGGTACGTATGTATACAGTCTCTTTTGGTAGAAAAAGGTGGTCTTGACAACGAGTTCTTACACTAATATACATTTTCCTAAAACGACCATTATCACTACTCGACGATGTTGTACTCTGGCTGCTTCTAAATTTACTGTCAAAGTGTGTTGTTTTTTCATTTCCCATTTTCTTGACGTTTCCGTTTTTTTCAGATGTGAAGGTTGCTGATCCTGTCGTTGCTTTTTGTGAGACAGTGGTAGAAACTTCCTCGCTGAAGTGTTTTGCGGAAACACCAAATAAGAAGTAAGTCATCATTTCTTAAAGTAATGATAATTTCACAAGTAAATGTGATTCTTAGTTGTGCTCCACTTCCTGGTCGTTTTGGTGTCTACCTGACGTTGAAAAGTATCTCTTTTTTTGGCTAATAACGTAAACAGTTCAGCGAGGTCTTTTTTAATAATTTTCCCTCAAAGTTGTAGAGTTATTTAGAGTTTTTGTATACACTGTGCACTGTATATATATAAAACCTTAAATGAACAGCTGTGAAGTGAACTTACGCAAAAAAACCTCTTCGTTGACTTGTGTTCTTAATCACTTCACATGGGCTTTTCTAAGTCTTTAAATAACATCGTGTAAGCGTTAACCACTTTGTATGATTTCGATTGATTTCTTAAATGTTCATTTTTTGGGACAACGGTCACGTTCACTTATCATCCCTTAGAAATCATTTATAACATGCATTGAGTGAGTGAGGATACTCTTTTTTAAAGAAATGTTTTCTTATGTTATTGTGTTGCTAAGCTGTAAGAGTATTACTTTGATATCTGCATAGTTTAGCAGTAAATCACCAACATCCTACTCTTCTACAAACAGAATTTTCATAACATAAAAATAAACACTTCCGATTATCGTTATCATATTTTTTTCTGGTCTCAAAATACACAAGTTGTTTAATGTTGTCTATTTATTTGCTTTTCACACGTCATCAGAAATAAGTTGACTATGATTGCTGAACCATTGGATAAAGGTCTGGCGGAAGATATTGAGAATAAAGTCGTTCATATTAGCTGGCCAAAAAAGCGTCTTGGGGACTTCTTTCAGAAAAAGTATGACTGGGACTTACTCGCATCCAGGTAATGTAAATAACATTAAGTTTTTTGTTCTCTATCTCATTTATTTAGTTGATATTGCCTTCTCCTTTATATGGTTTATGGATAATGTTTCTATATTTTTATTGTTGATGAAGAGTGACTTATTGAAAAGCACTTGAACTACTCTCCACTATATGAGTGTCAACGTTCCCTTTTTAATCTCCATGTAATCTTATATGCAGTTGAGATGTATGAATTTATTTATTTATATCCCTCGGTTTTTCATTGGAAATAGACTTATGATTTGTTCCTTCACAGTACTGGCCATTCTAAATTTGTCACTATTTTTAGAGTATACGTAACTTTCGTTTAGTCCAAGTTGTTTCTTTATTTCTTATAATTGTCCAACAGATCTATATGGGCTTTCGGTCCAGATACCACCGGTCCAAATATATTAATGGACGATACGCTGCCATCGGAAGTCGATAAAAACCTACTGCTTAATGTTAAAGACTACATCGTGCAGGTATGTTACCCACATAATTTATTGTCATGATAAAATCAGTGATATCATTTCTTAGGTTGCCAGGCAATCTGTATCATACGTAATTTAAAATTTTTCAAAAGCTTAAACTTGAGTGTTATATTAAGAATACGGGCAATTCAGTTGATGGCATATACTGTTGGTTAGTACCGTATTTGGAAACAAAAGCGATCTAAACACCAGACGTCTGTTTATTGCGTTTTTGTCTGAGTTATAGTGTGTAAGATAGTTTTCGCTTGTTTTTTGTTCGCCATCTAGCAGATCACATACTGTGGTCTGAATTTTTAGGGTTTCGAAATGAAAGCGTAGGGAGTAACCACGTCGAACTGTACAATTCATAAATAATTAATTTCATCCTCCTTATACTTTACTGAATTTTGTTTTTACATAGTGAAAGTTGTCGAATCTTTCCTACCTTCTCCATAATCTGGAATAAAAGTGCTTTTTGACATAGACTCAGTTTTTTATAAGAATGATCATACTCGAAAAACTGTATTTTTTATATAGCTAACCTTGTGTTTATTTCACATTGTTAAGGGTTTCCAATGGGGTACACGTGAAGGTCCACTTTGTGACGAACCAATCAGGAATGTGAAATTCAAGATATTGGATGCCCTTATCTCCGGTGAAGCACATCAGCGAGGTTCTGGACAAATAATCCCAACTGCCCGTAGAGTCGCTTACTCTGCTTTTCTTATGGCTACACCACGTTTAATGGAGCCTTATTACTTGGTTGAGGTCCAAGCACCTGCAGACTGTGTTTCAGCAGTCTATACTGTGCTCGCTCGTCGACGGTAAGTTAATCTTCTAATATGCTTCAAACAGTGCAGTTGATAAGGTGTTTCTATAATGTGCTGTCAACGCAACTAAAAAACAGTACGTATAGAAACTATTGGATATTGAAAGTAACGTCTCAGTATTGAATCTAGGATATGTGTAGCTTTTTAATTCACTATTTCGTGATTATTTCATGTTGATTTTCCACGGGGATGAATGTAGTCGCACTTGCCTTTTTTGAATTGTTCTCCCTTGACTGTGACTGACGAAATCGAAATTACATTTACCCTGTTGAAACTGATGCGCTTTATGGTTCCTGGGACTTTTTTTGATAGGTCTGCTTTATACTAGTTCTGTGTCCTGTGAATACTTCTTTGTTTTTCTTAGTTTTCAGTTCCTATCACTACAACTCGATATTTTAAAAATATCTAATTTACACTATGTTCTTCATTGTCAGAGGTCACGTAACACACGATGCACCCATATCTGGATCCCGTTATACGTTATTCGAGCATTCGTCCCTGTTATTGATTCGTTCGGTTTTGAAACCGATCTCCGAACACATTCTCAAGGTCAGGCGTTCTGTATGCTTGTCTTCAATCACTGGCAAATGGTTCCAGGAGATCCACTCGACCGTTCAATTCAGATACAGCCTTTGGTCCCCCAGCCTGCTACTCATCTGGCACGAGAGTTTATGATTAAGACTCGTAGAAGAAAGGTTAGTGTTTCGGATGAAAAAATACTTAGTAACTTTAGTTTACCACGTATTCAATACTCATTATTTCAGGTTCGGTATTTCTTAAAATGCTCTTTTTTGTGTTTATTTCCATCTGCAGGGATTGAATGAAGATGTCAGTATCAATAAATTCTTTGACGACCCGATGTTACTGGAGTTAGCTAGACAAGACGTGATGCTTAACTATGCACTCTAAATCTGTACAGTTTTTTCATGATAACGCATTGTACTTTCACATTACACATTATACGGAAGTTGTTTCCATGTTTTTCTTCATCCATCACATAATTAGTTTTTTTTGATCTTCAACGTTTCCCCTAACCTCAGGGCTTTATGGAAAAAGTAACCGTCTGCGCAAATCTTTCTATCAAATTCTTGAATGGATGGAATAATATTAATATGTACTTCTTGTGAAAGCCCGATCGGTTCAATTAATTTCGATTACATAATGCTAAGTTTGAGAAAAAAAGTCTGTTCAATGTTATAACTTTTATTTTTAAGTATAGTTTTGAAGTCTGTCAACCAAGAAAATCACGAAAATTGTTTGAAGTAAGTGTATGGCAATTGTCCATCCGCGAATGCCAAATATGTCCGACATTACACTTTTATCCAGCTGACTGAGCTTCACCGTTATACTACGGAACTGTCTTTATACATTATTTACAATTAAATCACTGGGTTAGCTGAGAACTGAATGTTTAGGAGACTGAAGTGTAGTGCTGTTTCGTACATGTAAGAAAAAGAGCTACCGAAACTAGTTTTCCTCCCCTTTGGCCTAGACGAAGGCATCATCAGCCTTCACTGATGCTTTTAAAGCAGTCTGGGGACACATCGGTGTAGCACACTGAGGGACTAAACTTCACTCTTATATCGAGTGAAAACCGAACAGCGTAACAACTATATTAACACCCAGTAAGTGCGCTGATTTGCATGCACACGTGTAAAAAAACAGATGTCTAACATCGAAGTGTATTGTTTCACTGTGTCTGTTTTCGACATAGAACTTTGCACTGATGTGCGGAAGTTCAAGTCGCCACACTCCCTCCTTGTAGCACACAAAGCAAGAGAAGAATGCATAATAGAGACAGTAAACAGAGGTGTGAGACAAAAGAATAGTAATAACGAAGAACAGTATAGTTTAAGTGGAAATCATAAGTCACAAGGAGTGGATGCATCTGCGCCATTGAGAACGATTTTAAGCCATGTCACCAATTGTTTCCAACCATCCTGGGGACCCCAACCTGGAAGTCTACACCTTCATACATGGCTTAGACCAACTGTTGTAAATTTCATTGACTGGTACCAAGTTTTGGTTTGACCGACGCTAGCTCTTTTCCAGCCTGACTCTATGTCACTTAACATAGCCCATTGCCGAGGAAGGCGATGACTAGGCATACGTAACACATGTCCTGACCATCTCAGTCAATGTAATTTCACAGCCTCGTCGATTGATTTTTCCTCCATACCTAGCACTCGACCGAAGCCCAACCTCAATATCGCTCACCTCATTATACCATCTAACACACACGGGAGACAGAACCCAGTCATCTATGATCAAAGACAGCTAATCTTTTCATGTCTTCCACTATCAGTGGCCACGTCTCACAGCCATAAAGGAGGACGGAGTGGACTGATGAGTAGTACACCCGCCCTTTGGTCGGTAGTCGGATATCACGTCTACTTCAGAGTCGGTGTAAGCTGGCCCTCTGTATCCGTGCTGAGATTTTGTCAGGGATCAACCCGTTGTGGCTGATGGTACTTCCCAAATAAGTGAAGCGGTCAACGTGCTCTACCACTTCACTTCCTATTTCTAAACTAGTAGTCAGTGTAGTCCAGTCTTGTAACATCATATTACATTTGGCAGCAGGAGCGAAATGCATGTCAAACATTCGTAGATTGCAGCTCAAAGTGTTCAGAAGACTGCATTTTGTCAGCGTCCTCGCCTAGAAGGACTATATCGTCTGCATATTCTAAGTCAACGAGATTATTCCCTGGTAACAAGTCAATCCCTGCATCCCTGAAGTCAGTTAGGGTTAAGTCCATCAGTACATCTATGATGAAATTGAGTAGAAATGGGGATAAAGGGCATCCGCACCACTTCAGATGACAACTCGCCGTTAGCCCTCACCTGGCTGCATGAGTTTGAGTAGAGTTCCTTATTCAGTGCAATGCATTTTCTCGTCATTCCCTTTACAGCCAAGCATCGCCAGAGAACCTCTCGGTCGACAGAATCGAATGACGGCCGTTTTTAGGTCAAGAAATATGACGATTGTTGGACGCCAGTAGGAATGCCTAAGGGTGAAAATATGATCAATACACCTTCTTCCTGGTCTAAAGCCTGCCTGGTTCTCTCGTGTTTGTGCCTATCGAGCACCACTTAGTCTACGCATGATTATTGAGCCTAGGACTTTATATACTATATTAGTCAAGCTAATCCCTCTGTGATTATCACAGGAAGACTTGTCTCCCTTCTTGTATATCGGGATGATCAGTGACTTACATCAACCCGATGGGACTTCCTCTGATTCCAGAGGTTGCTTAGAACCTCAGTTAATGCAGACAGTAAACTGTCTCCACCATACTTAAATACCTCTAGAGTCACTCCATCAGATCCCGCTGCTTTGCCTGGTGTTTCACAATCAGTACAGTAGGCCACAATATGTTGGTATGGTAGTAGCAGCAGCAGCAGTAATAAGCCTACAGAAAGCTACGATGATCATGTTAAGTAGATTTTCCTTTGACGAACGAATAGGAGTGAATAGCTCATGACAATGAAACTCCCCTCATCATAACTACTACTAACCCACCGATAATGAATTCCGATCTTTCGGTAGATGAGAAAATTTCTGTGATCCAATCTGCATTCAAATTACCTTGTTATCCGACAGGAGCACTTATTTCCGTGTATAGAATATAAAGACAAAATATAATGTATTAGTTGTATATAGGATATACAGAAATTAAAGCTGTTTAAAATCATTGAAATTATAAATGATGAACATTATCTTGAATCATTTGTTTTCCAAGTGTTCATATACCATTTTTCGTAGATTTTGTGCAAATGACCCTTTCCAAATAAAATCGTCAGTCTATCTATAATATCGTTACTATCAACTTGTATCCGATGTGTCTGTTTCTGCATATAACATCTCGATGACAGATTTGAAATGTTGACGTGCTTTTTGTCGTGATAACTTCATAGTCGGTGTTAGCAATCCATTTTCAATCGTAAATATCTGATCAGTTAGGTAGATGGATTTCACCTAAAATGGATTAGAATTTTATAATGGATAATATAAGTAAACTTATAAGACCAAATAGTCAGTAGATAAATGGTGTAAGTCTGCTAATTAGTATTTACTAATATTCACAACCATCTTGAAAAAAATAGTAATAATAGCAAAAAGCAATATGCACGAGAAAGTGCCTTAAGGCGTGGTGTATGTTAACCTTATTTTTAAATTCGAATTCAGAATTACACCGTCACGGACCTCTGATCAACACGCCCAATAATAATAAATATCCAAGCCGATTCGACTTCAACGTATAAAAGTAGAAATCTCAACAAAACGAGCGGACGTTTAATACATCCTGAAATCTTATTATCGCAGCTAAAACTTTCACTTACAACAAAATCAGTATTTTGTAAATGATATGCATCCACATGATGTGTGTTTTGTTTTTGACAGTCTATTATATTTTGCTGTGTATATGGATCGATATTTCATTATAACTCACAATATGCTTTTGTCTGTCCACCAACTAAATAAACATGTATGACCTTGTTGTCACATGACAACCAATCATGTTAAGACTGGCTATTTATTGGTTCATGTGTATTAACCATTTTCATATATACCCTTGTACTATATTCTTGTTCTCACATTTCGTACATTGCGTACCATTTCACTCACACACTAGTGTGACATTTATTTTCCTTGTCTGGAAAATACAAGTATCATCGTAAACCTGGTGGTCTTCTGATTTCCCTCTTTCCGCGTCAGGACTACTAACTACTCGACGGGTACATAACAGTAAATATTAGTTGATGTCAACTATTTTGAACACCTATAAGATATATTTTATGCAGTCAAAACTGTTGCTTGAAAGCTCCTTCGTGATTTTGTTGATTTACTATTATTACTATTACCATTAAATAGCGGAACGTCAGTAAGAACAATATAGTTTTGTTTTTCACTCATTGAGAAATACAAAATCTTTTATTATAACGAATATCATATACCCAATGCCCAAATATTTTCGAACTATAAAAATGTGAACATGGTTTCGACATATGAATCGGTTGTCTGTTTGGGATTCTTATTCAAACTGATTCAATAATCAACCAGCTGCCTGAAACAGCTGATTTAAAGTGTATAACGTATCTCACAATTATTTAAACTTTAAAAACTGACAGTCTTGTCAACTGCGCTAACTTCCTTATTACACACTCTTGTGTTTAGCCGATTATCTCACTAGTGATAAAGATAATGTGCCTTACCGAACACTGTTATGCGTCGAATGAATCCTTCTTTAGATTTCATCACCAAGTAGGGCTGATGCAACTTACCCAACAAGAAGGGTCTCACACATCCAAGTATCTCACTAGTTATCCTTCAACTATACATTTCGCTTACATTACTGGAACAGCCTACGACTGTCACCTCCAAGTCAGCTTATACCTGAGTTAATAAACCATATTCTTATTTCAGATACTCATCATTAACCCATAAAATATTGTGAAGAATTGGGAAGAATGAATAGGAACTTACTTTCTCGAAGCCTTTTAGTTGTTTTTCTGTGGCGATTTTATTCATTTTCTGTAAAACTAACCGGATAATTCGTTTGTTTTTACATAAATCTGCATCAGACAACTGATTAGCATCTACAGTTTCCAGGATAGGGAATTCACCGTCATTTGCATCACTGTCAGACATGGACGAATGCTGTATGTAGGAGCGTAGAACCGGGAAATTTGGAACTACAACAGCAACAGGAAAATTCTGTTCCGGTTTCCCATCAACGAGAATTTGATCTATCACCTGGCACTCCTGATACACCATCTCTACTTTTTCCGGAGCAACGTACTCTCCTTGTGCTAATTTAAACATACTTTTTACACGATCAACAATTTTTAGAGCACCTTCCTGCAAGGCAAAGCTTTTTGGTTAGAATTATTTTTTAATACACTAGAATATAAAATCTAATTATTTTATATACTATTACTTCACTTTTAGAACGATAACAACGAAAAATATCTTATTTTAAAATCACAGTAGGGAATTTTATTCACAACCAGAAGCACATACATTACATTGATATACAAAGGAACACAAACATCAGCTCAAAGACTTGAGAAAAACAAAGATCTAATCACCATACATCCAGATACAGGATCGGGAGTGGTCCTCATAGAAAGAGATGTATAGATCAACAGATTGACAATTCAATTCTTGTTTCTGATGATAGCAAATTTTCTAGACTAAATGACGTCAAAAATAAGACAGAATTGTTTGAACAGCAACTGAAAGATGTTCTCAAAAGAATTAAGAACGACTGTTTCATAATTGAAGGACGTTTTGAACGCCTGAAACCAGCTCTGCGGTCCACCAAACGTCCACAAAGCAAGTCCTCCACTTCGGCCAATTTTAAACATAGCGGGGTCCCTACACCATCCGACTGAAAAATGGCTGTCTGAAATGCTAGAACCTGTGAGATAACAACAATGTAAGTACTCTCTCCAGGATACTTTCGAATTTATTGAATGCATAAAAGATTTGAATGTAAATGGCAAGCGTACGCTATCACTGCACATAGAATCTCTAACTACCAGTGTACGGCTCACAGAAATAATTTGTTTCAGAAGAGAAGAATTTCAGCATCAGAACACTAACCTCTTATCTGAAACGGTTGTTACCGAAATTCACATTCAATGTACAATTCACCTTCAACGATAATATTCTACAGACAGAAAGATGGGATTGCCATGGGCTCTCACCTCGAGGCACTTTTGTCAGACTGATTCATGGACAGTTTGATAAATGGAATCTTAAAACCAATAGACAACATGTTGCTGTACAAAAGTTATGTCAACGACACTTTTACAGTCTGTCATTACGATTCTCAGTAAAATTGTCTTACATGTGCCACCCTTCAATTTAATTCACAACGGTAGTAGGAAATGAATCAAACACTCCATTTCTCGACATGGAATTGACAAGAAGAGATGGTGTAAGCCTGAAAAGATCTATCCACAGAAAACCAACATGGAATGGACAACTGACAAACTTCTATAGTTGGATACGTGTCAGCTGAAATATACCTCTCAACATCCCACAGTGGGATTTGTAGCAGTGATTGCTTAGAAGAAGGGCTCTATTTTGTCCTGCAGTATGTGTTGTTATTACTTTGCTAAAATTCATTTATTAGATAAAGAGTACTCTACCACAGCACCTAAGGTTTACTCATATCAATGTTTCAGATGATTCATGTTTATTGATACCATTTACATTTATTCCGTAGTTTAACTTAAATTATCAACAGTATTTACATGGGTTCTCATAACCTGACAGAGATTTCAGAATATATATCATGTAAAAAGTGTAAATTAAATCACACTAAAACTTACTGAGGTCCATTCACCAATATCACCAGTATGCAACCAACCATCAGAATCTCTAAGTTTCGCAGTACTTTGTGGATCTTTGTAATAACCCTTAGTACACCTTTTCCCTTTGACGCAAATCTAGAATGAAATGAAAACAGTGGTTAAAAATAGGAAGATATCAAAATTGTAATAGTTGTTATAAATGTCTACCAAACTGGGAGAAAACACAGTAAGTGAATGCATCATGGTTCGACAGGGATTCAGTGAAATGAAAGAGGACGGACAGCTCTTTGAATACATCCATCCGACAACTGCTACCTTGCCGTAGTGGTCGGGCTTGAACATCGGGGTGACCCAACAAGCTAAACCTGGCTGGGACTCATGTTCATTCAGGTCCTACCATGTCAGGAAGATTGTTTGGGTAGCGGTTAGACTAAAAGCCTTAACCATGGGAAACATGGGTCAATTGGGCCTACATGGTCACAGATAATTAGAACCGTCTTCTGCAGTTTCGCGCGGATCACAACTTATTTCTGACCAGAACCAACTTGTAGCACAGTCATCGCTATAGCGTTACCTGGCATCCTCCCTCTGTGAATCAAGCTTAGACTCAAATTGATCATATTGCTGTCAGTTTCCAGTGGCAAGGATGCATACAAGACTGTCGCTCCTTCTGGAGCACATGCCTGGACTACGGTCATGCAATAGTGTGTCCAGTTCGTCTTGCGATTTGGTGGGGTTCATAAAAGCCGTCGTCTAAACGTTGATGTGAGCAAACTAGTAGCACCTTCTACTTCTTTGAAATACCAGAATGAGTTACGATCAATGCTTGCCAGCAACCCCCAAGCAGTATAGATGAACATTGGCTTCATCTGCAAGGTGCCATGCAAGGGGAGGAGTGTAGCCGTTTGCCGCTTGAAAGAATGCTCCGCTAAAAACCACTGGGTTTCTGCGAGTTCCTTGCAACTCCTGGATGAACGCCGGTCCATTCCGGCTGGCAGCGAATACAACAATAAGCGAAAGGCGCTCACGCGCAAGATTAGACAGTGTTTACGTAAGGACCGCGAAGCCTGGTGGTCAGAACGCGTGTGTGAGATGGAGTCAGCTGCTGCATCTGGCAACAGTCGGAAGCTGTTCCAACTCATCCGAGACACCGGCAGCAAGAAACAAGTTGTCAGCGAGACGGTTTGTGAGGCAGATGGCACGCCAATTACCAGCTTGAAAAGACGCCTGGAATGCTGCGCAGAGCACTTCGGAAAACAGTTTAGCTGGCCACCAGCTTCAGTGTCTGTTTTCATTAGCCCAAGTGCTCCTTGGTCGGTTAGTACCGAAGCGGAGGTTCGTAAGGAACTCCAAGTGTGAAAACGCCATAAGGCGATCTGGCCAAACAATTTACCCCAGCTCTTTTTAAAGATGGTGGCGAGACTCTCACAATGGCTCTAACTGGGTTGTTCAGGAAGGTATGGGAGACTGAGAGTGTACCATCAGTGTGGAACGAAGCCATTATCGTCCCCATCTTTAAAAAGGGTCGAAGTAATTCGTGTGACAATCATAGGGGTATCAGTCTGCTACCAGTCGCGTCTAAAATATTGGCTGCTATCTTGATTCTCAGGCTGTGCAAAATACGTGTGACGGATTGATTCGCGAAGAGCAGGCTGGGTTTCGTTCAGGTCGTGGATGCATTGATCATGTGTTCACCCTTCGTCAGTTGTTGGAACACCGCCACACGTATTGCAGGCCAACGATCGTTGTGTTTCTTGATATTAGGGCTGCCTTCGACTCGTTGAACAGAACTGTGCTCTGGAACTGTCTGTTAGAGAGAGGTGTACCTGAGAAATTTGTTAACATCTTGAAAGCCCTATACAGAAACACCTCGGGTAGAGTGAGGGCATACAACCAACTATCATCACCGTTCCCAACCAACAGTGGGGTTAGACAGGGTTGCCCAATCTCTACATTTCTCTTTAACTTTGCCATCGATGACATTCTGGAGTCAGCTCTGAAGGATGTGCGTGAAGGTGGTGTAGATCTGCTACCTGGAGATACACTTTTCGACCTCGAGTATGCAGACGATATCGTCTTACTGTGCGATAGCATGCAGGCTGCCCAAATCGCACTTAATCAGTTGGCGATCAGTGTCTGTAAGTATGGTATGTGCTTTGGGCCGTCTAAGTGCAAAGTACTGTTACAGCAGCTGGCACGAGCCTCAACCTGCACTCACTCTTGCGGGTGAGCCACTTGAAGTTGTTGATAAGTTTGTGTATCTGGGTAGTTATGTGAGTGCTGGCGGGGAGGGGTGACGGATGAGATATCCAATCGTATAATGAAGGTTAGGATGGCATACATCAACTTGAGCCCCCTCTGGCGCCGTCGTGACGTTAGCCTGGCTATCAAAGGTCGGGTATACAACGCTTTGATGCGGGCTATCTTGTTCTACACCTGTGAAACCTGGCCCCTCCTGGCTGAGGATGTGAGGCGACTCTGCGTGATCGATCATTCCTGTCTCCTCAGTATTGCTTGCGTTGGATGGCATCATCGCGTGATTACTTTTGAGGTTCGGCGGCGTGTGTTTGAACACAGTGGAGATCACCATTTGTTGGCTTTCGCCATCTGGAAACACCGGCTTCAGTGGCTTGGACATGTGTTGCGAATGTTATCCTAAAGGCTTCCGTACAGGTGTCTGTTAGCTAGCCCTGGGACGGGATGGAAAAGGCGGAGGGGTGGTCAGTCCATGGCGTGGCGTCGTGGGATGAAGGATTTTTGTGCTAGATTAGCATTGGTTGGTGCTTCACGACTTCCCCGTTGGGGTCCACGAGATAGCTCGAATCGATGGCTCGAAAAGTTATCGGATATGGTCAAGAATTGTAATAAATGGCGAATGTGTGGCGATTTTCTTCCCAATGATATTTAACGAATACTGTTTGAACTTGTTAATTATGACTGTTTTCCTTCCAGATGAAGTTCTTTATCCGTTCTCTACTTATATTTTTTAAACTTTTAATCTATGTTGTTTTATTATTATTGTGTGGTGCATCTTTCTTGGTGCCATTTAGTACCAAGTTTTTTCTGCGTTTAAATAAATAAATAAATTTGTGATTTGGTGATTGAAAGCAACATATACAAGCACAAAGATAGATAAAGCGATATCAATTCCACCAGGCAGACAAACTGAAAATCAAATAGACTTCATCTCAGTCTCTAAAAGTTCGAGTTGCAGCCAGCTGGACACAAGATCAAGAAAAAGAGCAGGTCACTTATCTAGTGCACGGAAACTTTAACACAGACTTGAAAGCCTTCAAAGAAGCTAGAGATAGGCCACAGTCCAAGGTCAACAGTCAGAAACGAAATAACGAAACTATACTGAACATGTCCACTACAGTCATAAAACAAAGTCAGAGACATTAAGCAACCTCACCGAGAAAGCCTGCATGAAAGGGTATTGTAATTCTTTAAAAATGACATAGAAAGCAGACATCTTAGTAAGTTAGAAAAGGCAGGCTAATGAATGGCTGGCTACAGACAATTGTTAGCTAATAGAGAAGAGAATAATGACGAAAATTAATCAACAACGAAAACAAAATCTGAGCAAAATACTCAACATACAGAACCAAGAAGTGCTAGTAAAGAAAAAAAGCTTTTACGACACAATGACAACTGAAGTAGAAAATGTTACTGGTGTTGTATGACAAAACCATGTTAAATAACCAGGCCGCTTTCCGAGGGAAGAGTGACACGGATGAAGCCAGTGAAGGATACCTGACTTTCAAAAAAATTGGAATATAGAACACGTTTTGGTGATAGCTGTAAAGGACATATGTATTAAGCACTAACAACTAATTGTACAGATAAATCACTACTAACGGACGCAAAAGCAATACAAACAGATCTTCCGATAAAAGCATAAGTCTTGGAGGTCAAAAAGTTACTGAAAAAGGGAAAACAGATTTAACTTATTCATAAGTACTGAAAACGGATATAAATACCTCAGCAGACATACTGACGCCCGCATTTCACTAAGTGAAGAAGTAAGGGAAGAAAACTACAAAACAACGGTTACTTAAACTCGAGCAAGAACTGGCATGGAGTCATGCTCCTGCCCACCCGAAGCAAAATATTAAGCGGTATTCACGTGGAAAGATTAAAAGATGATCAGGATGGAAGAATTCGGCCAGAATAAGCTGTGCTCAAGAAAAAGAAGTCATAAGAAAATCAAATTGCAAGAAATACTCATCATCATTAAAAGCAGGACTGAATGACAAACAACTGTGCATTACAACTTCGTCGTCTTTGCAAAGGCCTTCGACAGCGCCGTCTGTAAATTAATTTGGGAACAGCACTAAGAAGTGCAGTGCCCTAGAAACACTAATAAACCTCATTCAACAGTTATATGATGACGCATCATGCCAAGCAACTGAAAACGGAAAGCTCACCAGAGCCTTCGAAGCAAAGACAGAAGTCTGTCTACTATCACCAATGATATTCTTGGTTGTGGTGGACTGGATCAAGTAGTAAACCGTGAGGTGAGACGACAGGTATACGTTGGACCAACAAAAATACTTGAGAAGATTTGCACTTCCCAGATGATTTGTGTTTTGGGCAACTTAAACTCGAAAATTTACAAGCGAAGACTAACAATTTGGCCGAAGAGGTGATGAAAACAAGAAACGAGAAACACCACCAACGGGGAAGATGTAAACAGTCATCTTTTTCGCTTACATAGACAGTATTGTTTCAACCACAGACAGTCAGCACAGGTGAGGGTGCCAAAACTAGACAGGATAGAGAAAACAAGGCGAGTGTCCGCATTTCTGAAATCAGTGTTGAGATCTACAGCACCACCTAGCACACGGAACAAGATCAGAATGTTTAACACTAATTTCAAGTCAGCGCTTCTGTGTGGTTCATAAAATGGAGTCATCAAAAGCACTCCAATAGACGGCGTATTTCTATTAACTTCTCGATACTCAATGAGAAACGATACGTTGGGTATAGGTCCAAGGGAAACATTTAGGTGTTTAGGCATAGATAAAGTGAAAGTTTTTTGGAAGTCATTGTGCCAGCTGAAGATGTCAGAGAACAATGTGAAATGTGGATGTGTTGTCGAAGCTCAATATTTCATTTTGAACGCAAAGACCGAATAACAATAATAAACTCACACATTAATACCGTTCGGTAAGTTTTTGTGCTAGTTTGAAGCACGACTGTTTGTATCTACTGCTGCTATTGTAGCAATGTAATACTTTTGTAAATCATAGATAGATAGAAGATATTTCTGTTTTAACTATATTTACATTTAAAATATGTCGTCAACGTCAAGTGCGAGGTTTGAAGAATTATAAGGAAATTAACTATTAGTACTAACACAATGCTGAGGTGAAGCACTTAAATAAACGTGATTTAACGGTTTACATAATCTTTCTTATCTCAGATTTACAATCTGATAGTCTGTGTATGGGTTGTGATCTAAATTTCTATCTACAGAAACACCTTACGATAGGTTTCAGTCAGAAAATACTTCAGAACAAAGTAGGAAGTTGGAGGATCATAGTTATGAAGATAGGTTCTTAAGAAATTTTCTCGTGCTTACAAATACAGTCTGACAACGTTTCACAAGTTAAGTCCTGTCATATTTTCTGTTTCGGATACAAAAACCTCTCTATTTATACTTACCTTTCCTAGTGTATTGTAGTGAAAGATGACAGTTAAATTGAAGCATTTAAAAGCAAAGTTTTACATTAATCAGCCTTCAGATGTAAGGAACCTGAATAAAGTTTCATTTTGATAAATCACACAGTGTTGTACAGTAATATTCACTGATGACGCTTCGACTAAAAATTATCGCTCAAAAAAGTTGTGATTTGTCAAAATAAAATCTTACTCATAATGGCGTTATACTCTACCACAGTAACCAAGTTTTATATTTATAAGGAACAGCCCCGTCATGAGAAGCTATTGAATAGTGTAATTCAATTTAGCAGAGGAAAGGAAAAGTAAATAAATAAATGTTTATCTCCCAGTAGAATAACTATACTGCATCAATATGAAGTATTTCTTGTGATATCATTAAACAGATATATAAAAAATTTTTATGATTTCTTACCTCACCTCTATTATCCCTCATAGCCACCAGGCCTAGATCAGGAACATCAGCAAGTTTTACTTCCAACCTAGTTGTAATTGCACCAACAATACCTGTATGGCACTCTCCCAACACAGTTAAACTAGCTACTCCAGAAATTTCAGTAGATCCATATCCTGAAACAATCTACAGAATAAGGGTGATAACAAATGATCTCACGACACAAATAAAAGTCGAAATTTAATAGTATTACTTTGATGTTTAGAGTATGCTAGTAATTGATTATATAGCGTTTATACAGACACAATTTGTGCTCATAGATCTGCTTACCTTTAATCCAATTTACAGGTATTATGTGATAATTTAAATCATAATCCCAATTATATTGGCTAAGCGTCTGATTGCATGAGTCATTTTACTAGACCACTCAGGGGCATGGATTTCTAAGAGAACTTAAATATGACCGCTTTCATTCTAGTGTACTTGAATAGCTTAACAATATGACTCACAACAACAACTGTTTATTGTTTATACTGAGTACATTACAAAAACAATAGTAAAAAAAAGCTGCTGTTGTTTATCTGAGTAGGTGCGTACTGATGAAGAATCTCAAACTAGGACGAAACCGCTGTCTAGTACTCTCAGGTTTTCCAGCGGTTCTTCAACCAACCGATGTCAGCTCACAGTGAAATTCTGTGACCAATCAAATTCCTACAAACCAAATACGTGAATACCTGAGTTTCTTTTGTCATTTAAATTACAACGTAATCCATACAACTCTTGGCCTTCTTCCAAGTCCTGGCGTGCGCATAATTAGTGGTACAAGCGAAAATTTTTAATGCAATACAATTAGTCTAAATCGAGTGAAAAAAAGCTTAATAAGCTCCACTGGTATATTGAAAAGAGATACAATCGACAACAAATCAGTCCTGGTAGACTCAAAAGGGCTCACTAAATTGCAATAGAGGACATACAAAGCAAGTCTAAACGATTGTGGACATGTTAATTTACTGAAGCTAGAAACTCCTCATATTAAGCAGCAAAATATTTATAGACGAAAGATACCGTAAACGATCAAGACAATGTAATTACAGGTGACTTATGAGATAGCATACTAATATAAAGCAATAGGATAATAAAGGGATTAGAATTATGCTAATGCAGCACGAACCATTGTTCTGCAAAAAACCACGCAACCATAAATGAAGAAAACTACAGGAAACTTACAAGGCCATTGAAAGCAACCCGAAAAAAGGTGAACAGCTCAGGTGAAATTGATGCCCCACCGGTGATTATCATGCACACTCTCCCACCAAGAGCCTGGCGAAGTTTTTTGAAAAACAATGAATCGAGAATGTCTTCATCGTTCACTTTCCCACTAAACAGAAATCGTGGAAACAACATTCACCAGTCAAATATCAATCAATGTTATCAAGATAAGATGAAGCTAATTTATATGATAATTAGGACTTGTTGTCATTTTAAGTTTTTAATTTTCACCAGCTTCGGGTTTTTTATCAATGCCATTTCAACTGATGTCTAGATTTCTATATTGATATTTCAAAACTTTTTAAATAGTTCAAGGTATTACGGGACCAGAGATAACTAATTTCACTGTCTGGAAGGCTTAGAAGACTACGAAACTTTTCAGTCATTTCCACTTTCTATAGACCTAACTTATATTGTCCAGTCTTTTTAAAGTCTATAAAACAGGTCTTCTATACTGAAACAACCACTTAAGTTGAAATGACAAATGCCTTCAACAGACTGAATAGTGAAAATATTGTTGTTAGATAATCACACGTCGGCAGTACTATGATATGATTTTCCCATGAATCATCAGTAAGATAATAACAAAATACCAATAGGGGAAATAAACGAATTGAGAAAATAATAAATTAAGTATGTGCTTCTCGTAAAAGTCACAAACTCCACAAAACACAAAAGTTAGAGAAATAAACATGTTCGAAAGAATGGTTACTGAACAAAGAATACTTTTTTCGATAACTTCATCATCAGGCTCTACAGTAATATATATATATATATATATATATATATATAATAGTGAATAAATTCATGTTATGAACAACATTATTGTTTAAATAACATCGAATCAATGATATCAATAGATTACAGTCCAGTAACCTCAACGTAACAATAAACTGAATGTCGGAAATATTAAGAAAGATAATAATACAAACTTATGAATTTATATGTCACAAAAATAATTTACGTACCTATTAAGAATTTTTAAATTGCGTTTAAAAGTATAGTTAAATAACTGTCTTTTTATAAATGAGTTCCCGAGTGCTAAATTGTACTTTTCGTATATGCGTGACAGTACACGTGGAACCACAGGAATAACGGTAGGTTTCAGAGCTTCAGCATCATCTAGTAAACCTGTAATTGGGCCCGTAAGGAATCCAATTTGTGCACCACTGAAAACTGCAGCAGACTAAAAGTGTAAGCAATGCAAATGGACAGAAATGAAGATCATTGTCAGTGAAAGTATCTACTATAGGAGAAATAGACTAAGTTCACTGAATGATGGTGGCAGGAGTGATCCTGACAGCATGTACAGTTTTGTGATTATGCATCGCACTGTCGAAATCATATCCAAAAATTATTGAGTGTAGTAATACACTTCAGTTACCTAATACAGATTTATTATAATTTGCTAAACATTTATGTGAATAATTCCGAAATTTACCGAATGATGAGTCAGATGACGATGAAGAAGGCATAGCTTTGTTCAGATTAAAGTGAACTAAGTGAGTTTAAAACACATGGTGGCTATTGTTAAACGAATAAACTACCAATTTTGAGGTATAATCTACCGTTAAGACAGGTCAGAGGATCACTATGGAGCTGTGTCTCGTTGTATATTTACTGGCCACTAAGGTGCAGCGAGGGTCAGCATTTGTCCTTCATGCTGGTGCAGACTGAATCCTAGCAGTCAACTTTGCACTGTAATCACCCAGCTCTGGGACTTGCTAATGCACTCTGTGTTGATTCCAGTTGGTTTGTAATAATCGGCAGGAAGCTCTACATCTAGGTTTCGAGCTCACTGGCAAGCAAATCGCATCTATAACTTCTTAGTTGTTGGTGTTCGGATATCAATCCCTACATGATTGCAGATACAACTTACTGGCAAATACCAACCAGCATGAAATCTAGGTCCAATGCTTCTTGCCACTAACCACTGAATATGTAATAACTTGTTTTTAACGCTTTGCCTTCGAATAGGAGATCCTGAGTTCGAAACTTTCCACACCTACTTCAACCTGGGCATATGGAAAATATTGTCAGCTTTGGTATAATAAGTGTGACTCAAGCAAATATATTATAAATCCCTTCCAGACAACAGAATTTTAATCTCTAACATTCCGGATTCCGAAAATGTTTACTAACTTCCATCTACTTATTATCTTTTCCGCACACCTTCGTCCGTTGTACCTTCATGTTTCTCTATTTCCATCCCAAGTTTTTGAAAATATGGTAACTTTAAGTGATGGGATTGTATGCAACGTTTCTGGAAACTCAGGCCAGTATAACAGGAATATAATACTAAAGTTTAGATGTAGAACCAGAAATCATCAGGAAAGATTACGCCACAAATGAGCACATTAGATTTAAAGAGAAGTTTCAATGCTGCATATCTGGCTGTAAAATTTGAAGTTTTTAAACGGAACTTCAATTATTCGCTTACTTCATCACCTCTATATCACTACGACTTTACGCCTTTACCAAACTTGAAAGTGATATTGAATATTAGGATTTCGATATTAGCATACACATTCAGGGTAACTACAGTTTTTAGTGATAAGATAATGACACTTTTTATATAACTTTGCTTGTCTCTTTTCGGTTTCTATAATTATGATTTTATTTAAATTTAGAAACTACGTTTTGTTTTACAGAGGCAACGCATTTTTCCGAAATATAATCTGTGTACTTTTACAGAGCTTGTGGTTGTACAACAATGGGTTTATGTCATAACCGGAAACAAAAAAAAATATCTGTCCGATGAATAGTCTTTTGGTCTATGAGTACCTGTAAGTATGAAACCCGACTGAAGATAACATGCAAGTTTCATACACTGAAAGTCTAGATAACTTTCAAAACTAAAAATCATCACTCTAATTGGTAAGAACACTGTAAGCCATATGACAGAATTCAGGAGACGATTATTCATGCTTTTCCAAGACAAGTGACAACACAATGGTTGTTACTTATTCTCGTGTAATCAGAAAATTGAGGCGGTTATTTGCATAATATTCTTCGATATCTATTCAACTGCTGACGGTCCACCATATATTATAGCACATATAGGATAGTTTGACACATAACTATCTTATTGATTTCAGTTTTAAGAACAGATATTTCTCATATAATTCAACTGGTATAGACAGTTTAAAAATTATCGCGTTATTCCAGAAGCGAACAGTTGAGTTCACATTTCTAAAAAGTGATAATCACGACGTACTGAAGTTGAAAGATATATCACCTACAACAAAAATATAGTCTACATGTTCAGATTAAATGGAGATAAGATATGAAATTCTCAGGATGCATTTGAGTTATAAGTAGCACTTGAATAACAAATGAAGAGCAGGTGATAAAAAACAGATTACGATAAAATAGACACACTCAGCATTACAGTTAAGCATGGTACACAGATGGATAAAAAAAGTAGTAAATTAAAGTACATAGGAAATTAAAAAGCTATAAAGCAAGTGATGCAATATGTAACAGTCGTAACATGTAATAATAATAACATTACTATCAATTGCAGCAATATAGTAACGATAATCTCACACCTAATGATATGGTCATCGTGAAAAAAGTGGTGGAAAAATATGAAGTGTTGCGATAATTGTTTTTCAGACATGAAGTGTGTTAAACGCATAACACAGAGACTATTTGTTTTGAGCATGTTAAAACTGCGATGTCAACTGAATGAAACGATTGGATTATCATGACATTTATAAAAAAGGAAGCCATATTAACCTCCGAAGTAGTAATTAAAAATTTAATGTATATGTGAATTGTAAACTAGTCTAATATGCCAGATTTCACTTTCTTAATCACTAAGGTGAAATCATCAAGGTAACATATGAAGGAAGTGAAAAGCTTTTAAAATGAAACAGGACTTGAAAAGAATTACCTTATTCATACAAATTCATGCTAAATTCACCATTTCTCTTTAACTTTCCGATTGATGAAATTCTAGAGACAGCTTTCAGGAATGTTAACAGTGTTGTTGTTGGTGTATATATGCTGCCCTGGAAAAGACTCTCACCTCGAATATCCAGACAATATCACTGTACATTAAAAGGCTAACCTACCTAATCGCAGTTATTCACTTGCAGTTCAGCATTTTAAGTATGGCTGGTATGTGCTGCGATCCATCCACGTACCTAGTATTGTTACAGGAATGATAGGTGCCTGTAACTGCTCCCCACTCCTCCACGAACGTCAACCGTTAGAAGTAGTCGATAACCTCGTGTATCAAGGCGGGTGTTAGTGGACGTGTAACGGATGACAAATCTAATCACATAATTAAGGCCAGGGCAAACACAATACACCAACCTCGAACACCACTTCCCCTATCGTCTCCACATTAACCTAGTCATCAAACACAACGTGCCTTCAGTCTTCCTCTATGCCTGTAAAACATGACCTCTCCGATCTAAGGATGTGCTGTGAATCTGCATGTCCAATCATCCTTCCCGACAAGAAATTGCTTACATCTGGCGGTAGCATCATTTAACTAATTCTGAGGTCTGATGGAGTATGTTACGACATTCTGCAAGTCGTCTTTTAATAAATTAAGTCATCTCGAAACACCCGTTTCACCAGCTGGGTCATGTACTACCACCAATCTCATCCTCGAGGCCCACCCTCACCCTTCATTGTTTCCTAAAGTTGTATGCAAAAGGAGCAAACGTGATCAGCCAGTCCACCACATGGAATGGAGGTTAGTTGTGTCAAGTTAACAACTTCCGGTGCATTACCACTGCCTTGGTGGGGTTTGACAGACAATCCAGATCAATGTCTCACAATCTTATCAGATATGGGTGAGAATCGTAATTATTGGCGAACATGGTGCAACTTTCTCCTTTTCTACCCTTCTGAAAGCAACCCCAATTGATGAATGTCCTTATAATGCTCGTGACGATTTCGCTTACTTGGGAAGTTGAACCAACACTAATGAACTGATTGCTGTGGTTTTCGTCAACTTACTTCATGTATGGTGTAGACATGATATCCGGCTATCCATCAAAGGACGTGCACACTAGTTAGTTCTTTATGGCTGTACGATATGGCTACTGAAATTCGAAGATACAAATAGACTAGCTATCTTTGACAACAAGTCTTGGCGTTCCATATAACAGATTAGGAGGTATCACATTCTCAGTAATACTGAGGTTAGGCGTAGAGATAAGAAAAACAAATCAGTCGCTGAGTTTGTGAAACTACATTGATTCAGATGGCTCGACACGTGTTATGTATGCCAAGCTATCGTCTTCATCGTTGAGAAACGTTAGCTGACACATGCTCAGGTAGCAAAAGACTTAGGAGCAGTCAAATCATGGAAACTAAAGTTCGACACCTCCTTACAAAGGAACACAAACATCAGCTCAAAGACTTGAGAAAAACAAAGATCTAATCATCATACCTCCAGATACAGGGTCGGGAGTGGTCCTCATAGAAAGAGATGTATAGATCAACAAACTGACAACTATAGTCTCTGATGATAGCAAATTTGAACTGTCGTACATTTGTGACGTTGAAAATTAAGTCTAATTCAATCCTTTTTGATCCCTATTTTGTTAAAATGAAGTTCATAATTTGACTGAATAAATTTCTTTCAGAGTCTAATCAGCACAATCATTTTTCTTGTTAACCTGAATATCATCACTTTTACTATACTCATTTACTTTACTCACTCATTTACTTTGAATACACAATCAAATAAATTCTCTTTTGACAGTACAGTGATATATCACAAAAATGCTATCATATACATACTTACTTCGAATCCAATTCTAAAAGTATCTTAATATAAACATGGTTAATCCAGAAATAAATTGTACCATATATTTAATGAATCGTCGCTACAAAAATTCTGTCTGTGACTGATATAGATATAAACTTAATATTTACCTTTTAATCGATACATAAATGTGGAATCTGAAGCGGATATTATCAAAAAAATTCTTCAATTTGTGGATGGTGACTAGCAGTGGAATCCAGGATGCGCATTTCGTCCTATTTGGGACTCGTCATCTGGATGTACCTGCATTACCCAGTGAGTGATGATGTTCCCACCGTGGCTCGAACCCATTGTCCTTAGTTTCAAACGCCAAAGCGTTATCCACTAGACCACTTAGGCCACGATCTCAATTAAAATTACAAAGAATATTCTTTGTTCAAAAATCTGTGTTTCATTTTGTCATGGACATAGTTTGACTTTATTTCAAGGTTACTTCATTGGCTTTTGTTAACATGGAGACGAACCTGTTTACACACACTCCAGCAAAAGTCGGTACTTCAAAAAGAGATGCAACACATTTATTCACGCCATAAGTAATTAGGAATGCAATGCAACGATCTCTTGGATAGAATCTGCCCGAAAGAAGTAAATTTTTATATTATTTAGGTCTAAAATACTTAATGAATCATCAAATGAATGCTGTAAGTTTAATATCAGTTGATACAACTGTTGCTTTGAAGTATGCTGTATACATCTCTTCAGCTGTAAAACATGAACTTACAGAAGAAACTTGCTCCATAATATGCGCGAAAGGTAGATAGGAAAAGTGCAAAGAATTCTTGCAGTAAATCTACATAAATATATAAAAATAAGTGGAAAAATTACGTTAAAACAACTAACATGATAATGTTTATAAGGATTAAGGTTTGTTCTAAATTTTGCAGAAAAAAGAAAAGTTAAAATTCTTAAGTATCATTTGAATACGAATTCCCTGCAATATTGACTGCAAAAGACACATGGTCAGTCTGTTTCAGTGCATCTCAATCTCTAACCCACTCATAACCCAATGCATTTGAATGGCTTAGTCGTACGCCTTATCCCATCAGGTGCTGAAAGTGACAGATGGTTTTCATTTTATCTAGGCATAGTATTCGTGAAGTAAACCCAAGCAAAACATAATGACATGTGGGCATAATACTCAGCTGTTGAAATTTCAGCTAGTCCATAACACAACTATTTGTGGCCGAATTCTAAATGCCTAGTCCCAATACCCAAATACTGACTCATTATTTCAATGAATTTCCATCATTCAGTTAGAATTATTAGCAACTAAACAACAACAATTCACAGTGCACCGTGATGGCTAGCCACCCAGCATGGTGGCTACGTTGCAAGCTTTACTGATAGAAGTCAGCCTGCACCGAAGATAAGACTAGACACATTACACTAGTTACTGACTAGTATGCAATCAAAAATATCCAATACAGTTCTACAGGAGGTCAATCGTGAGCCTGAATAGCTCAGTAGTAACGTCTCTGACTGCAGCACTGGGTGACGCAGGTTCGAATCTCACAAGGGACATGAGTTCCTTCAAGGCTGCAGATACGCCTTGCTGATGAGTGCCAACTAGCACAAAAACTAGGTCCAAGGCTTCCTGTGGCCGATTGCCTCCAACCATCTATTACCAACAAATAAACAAAGTGTCACTCATAGACCTAAATACTGTTGCCAAAAAGCTTTACTTATGAGACCTCAGCAAAATAGTTGCATATCATCTTTAACATTCTTGATTAGTTCCATAGTAAGAAGTATATGAAAATCACTATTTCAATCGATCATATCCTATGGAAATAGCATACTTATATATTGCGACAATTATTAAATAAAAACGAAATGAGTTTAAACTTTTTTACATTTCAGACAATTTGGTGACGTTGATCTAACCTTAAAACAATTTTCACTTGATCAAGTAAATACGTATAACAAAGGAGCTTAACCAATCTCATAAAGTTATTAGTCTGAAATAAATCACGTTCGTATCACAATGGAAGGCGTCTTTTCTTTACTTAGGACAAATCAAGTTGTAGTGAAAAAACAAAGAAGCACCTTACCTTTTCCTCTGTAGATTCTATCGTAGAACAAACAGTGTCCACGAGGTTTTCATGTGTAATCATGACCCCCTTAGGTAAACCTGAAGTAAGAAGTGAATAGTTTTATCTGTCTCTAAAACACCACCTCAGAATTATTAAAATACATAAACTGTAAACACCATTTGCATATATGAAAAAGAGGGTTTTCCGGTCGTTGAGCGATAAAATAAAAAACCTCAAGTTATGGCAAACACACACACACCAAGCACTAATTTTAAGGATAACAAAGACTGTTATCTCACTGCCAGCACATGTAATGATGACGTCTGTTAAAAGAAAGCGACGGAAAAACTTAAAGTTACAACTAACAAGAAGCAACCACTCTTAATTATGTGAAAAGGATTTTCGTAATCTACGAAATGTGTTTGTGAATTATCTGCGTTTATGAAAGATTGGTCGGCTTTCGATAAGAGATCTTCACAACTGGGAAATGTATTTAAACTTTCCAATTATTTAAAATTTTGTATGATGACAGAACTAAGTAAGTTGTTTTGTGAAGATGATAAGGCACATGTAAGTATAAATCCCACATTCAGAACTATCATTTAGGGAATCATTGAAAACAAAGGATAGCAGGACTATTCTTTCATCCTGCTTTTAGACCGTATTTTCGGCGAGTATCCAAGTGAATTGGTAGAATTCCGAAGTTACAAGCCGTTAGACTACAAACCGATGACAAGACGACAAAGTTAGTCCTGGATAAGTCCCGAATAGTGTGTCTAAGTGACGAGTTATAAACTAATATGCAACTATCACCCTGTGCTTGAGCTTTCAATACTTTTTAAACGACATTCATATGTAGTAAAATTTACTTTGAATTCACTTAGCCTTTTATTGACCTTAATTTACACAATAATTTTAGCCTTCGAAATATAATAAATTCTTGAGTATCAATGATGGAATGTTCAGTAATTATAAGATTACCTTATAAACTTTAATTTTTAATTTATTTGTAAGTTTTCGTTCAATGTTACAGAAAAATTCATTTTTATGTTTACTGGGGTGTGGAAAATTTTCAGATATGTGATAATAGAAAAATGTTGGGCGTGAATCAATCTTTACTGCAAAACCATTTTCCTGAGATTTCAATATACAAAATTGGGAACTGCTATCAGCACTGAGATTTTCTTCGAGTAAAGTTATTGATGATATTATAGCCATCATCGTCAATCATTATTGTAAAAAGTCGGCACAATAAAATCCAAATTGGCCAGTTTCAATGAACATGTCTTGCTAGCCTGTAGCACTAAATGCTGTTTGATAATTCTGCATAGGCGGCAAACTTCAGAGTTAAACTGCATTTTCATAGTTTCATGCTAGTATATGTCATGCATTGCATCAGAAATGCTTAATTTTTAACTATAACCTTGTGGCGTTTATTCAAAGTGGTGTATACTGGAGGTATGCTGTAATGTCATTCCAAATTCCTTACGACAACAACACTTTTTCATTTGATTTTCCCATAGGCATTATTATTTTAAACAATATTCCCATAAATGATGAAAAAAACAGTCATATGCACCAGTAGAACACGTGCATGTACTTCATGTACAATTTCATTCTTGTTCTCTAATTTTTTTTTCTACTGTGGGATTTTAATAGCTCATGTAGAACTGAACTAATTCACATGCAGTGATGCGAAATACTTGAGATAATTTAATGTAATCCAGCACTTGTTAAGCATTGCAAACAAGAAGTGAGATCAGACTTGTGTGTACATCAGATTCAAAAACAGAAAATCACGCATATCATGAATTAATTTAAGTAAGCTTTTTTTCTACTGCAGGTCAACAGTGCTTATTATTTAACAGACCGTCGATTTATTTTCGTCATGATTCTACATTCAAATATGCAGTAGTCCTCAGTGGATGTAACCAGTTAAAAATTGAATTTATCCAAATATTGAACAGCTTGATGAGAATTTTGTTTCAAAAGTAAACTGTCGTTGGCTCAATTTTAGTGTTATTCTATAGGTACCACAAACTTGAGTTATTAACCGGATTCACAGATGCTTACCACCAGGAAATGGACACTATCATTACTGTCTTTGCTGACAACGAAAAATATATGATCCAGCTACCATACAAGGTGATATATAATCATTTGAACTGACTGACATAGCTAGCAGTACTAACACGTAGTTATTTTTACTGTCATTTTAGCTTGTACGCACACCTATGAATACACGCACATTCACTGCGTCTAAATTTGCACGCATAGATGCATGAATGCTGCTTAAGCTAGAACAAGCAACTTCAGAACAATTTTCTTTATAGTACTTTTGAAAGTATTCCCATTCTCATTATATAATCGCTTATCCTTATAATATTCACAGACACATCACAATCTCTCAGTTAATCGAAAGTCAAATTCAACCAAAAAAGGAAAATATAAATCCCAGCCTGAACCCAAACGAGGATAAATTTAAAAACTACAGTGAGGTGAATAAATTCACGATTACAGTAATCAACACCTCTGACAACAATACACTTTTAATGTAGCCACTAGTACATGAAAATAACGCATCGAATTGTTTACACAAAATAAAAATAACATAAGTACACGCCACTCTTGAGTTGAGGTCATGGATATCAACCATGCTCTATTCATTGCGATTTGGGAGGCCAAGAAGTATTGTGAAAAACAATAGTAAACACAGGAGTAGAATGGTTCATTAGACAAACTAAACTCAGTACTGGTAAAATACAACAACAGTAAATCAAAAAGTCGAGTCGATGGTTTGGCGGTAGAATATTAGCCAGCCACTACTCATGTGGTCCAGAGTGCGACCCCCGGCAAACGCACACTTAGACCTCACTTAGCTAGTAGTAAGGCCGGTAAAGAGGAAAGGTTGTGTATGAGGCTAGCAAATGCACCCCGTAAAAAAACTACTGGAACCGGAACTTGAAAGTTCTAGCTTGAACCCCTATGTTTCACGCCAAACGTTAAGGAATAAATAATAAAATTAGAAAGTTGATTTGCACAAACTATTTGAGATCCATCTTTTGCTGAGATTTTCTTCAGTTCACTTAACTTCATTTACGCGCTTTCTATATCAGTAACTACAGCTGTGCAGATTTAGTCTAAGCTTGTATCAGCTGCTTGTATATTCATACAACATTCTCACTGTGTATACCGCCTACAAATTTATGTGAGTGCCACACAAAACGGACTGTATGACGGGTTGTTTAGAGTAGCAAGGATGAAACAGTAAATGTTTTAACTCAGTTGTTATGGTGAATACAATCAGTGTTCATAAATGCCATACATAAGCCTATTATAGAACAATGAAACTGTATCCTAAGACAAAACAGTAAAGAACTCCGTCCCCTATACTAAGTAGCTGACATATTCACATAAAACTTTTCAAAAGAATGTATCAGTTGAAGTTGCCAAACTTCCTTCAAAAGTTTGATGTATATATATATATATATATATATATATATATAATGAAATAAAAATGTAATTAACTTGCAATTCAGACATACCACTACTGCCACTGGTGTAACAGATGAGACAGAGGTCTTGCGGCGAAGGAGGCTATAAATGAAACCAAAATCACAGTTATTCAACATTAGTAAAATAAGGTGAGTTGGAACAAAAAAATAAACACAGCGTTTGAATGAGATTCAGCGTCACGACATGACAGATAAAGTTGCATTGCTTCCGATGTAATTCTGCAAAAGAAGTCAGTACAATAAACCGCAGAACTGTTGGGAAAATCTGATTCTTTCGATTTTCAAAACCCTCTGAGATTACTTCCAGGATTTCATCATGAGCTGACATTAGTTAGATTACGTTAAATGACTATATGATGAGCCGAATAGCATATTGTGATGAAGCGTTAATAGTTTCTTGATGAAAACAATTCATAACTCAGATATGTTTAGACGAAGAGATCGAATACAGGATGTGATCCCTGACTTTCATAGAAAGCCTCGAAAATTGTTGCTTTAATAGTTTTCCCGTATAAACTCTCATTACCTTCCTGGATGAAACGCTGGAGTTATTTATTTAAACCTCACTGGAATTTCTATAAACATGACTTCTATATTCACCTAAGGGAAACTAGTAAAGACAGCAGGAAGTTCTAACCGTTCAATAAACTCAAATGTACTGTAAAAACTTCAATGAGTAATATACCGTTGATAAAATATATGAAGACTTATGCATACACGATTATGTTAAATAGCAGTACATGACCTGCTGCTGCGAAATTGATAGTAGTCTACAACACAAAGAACACGCGTAGACAAACGAATCGAGATGCGAGAACACATCATGTTAACTATAACTTCAATTATTCATTTACCTGTGCACGTAGTACAATGTAGGTGGGTAAAGTTTAGAGTCTGCAAAAAGCACTTTTGAATATGTACCAGAAAGATTGTCATTAAGTGCAGGAATACCTGGCAGTGACATTAGTGGACATACGCTTGATAAAGGTCACACAAATTACAACACTGGTTTCAGGGTGGTAAATAAACCAGTAATAGCAAATTACTCTGATATGCATAAGTACCAGGAATCCGACTGTTGAAGCCTAATCTTTGCACATGGAAGGATTTTGTGATCCACCTTGCACTGCCTTGGTAATTTGTTATTTCTTTACTCAATATTTTACCATTTGCTCCATCTTATCCTGCTTTAATTCTGTTCACCTTTCTTACACTTTTCCTTATCCATTATATTTATTGTAATCATTTATTGTTTAACTATTATTCCAACCTATTACATTAAGCATGTCAGGTCTTAACTGCCTGTTTCACTAGTTTGTATCTTAATCACACCTTTTCAGTATTATGTTGAATTACTCTGTTTTGTTTGGATAGAATTTACCGTTTGATTTGTCGTCTTAATAGTCGTTCTTCTATCTGTAATGAGTAATCAGGCCATGAACAAAACCATTTTTCTTCCCATATATATATATATATATATATATATATATATATATATATATATATATATATATATATATATATATATATATTAAAAGTCTATTGTTCTTGCCCTACAAAGATGCCAGTACATTTTTTAATTCATAAACTGTAAATCAACTCAGTTCGAGCATCAGGAAATATGAAATCCCAGGATTTTGTGATTAGTTATTTTCACTAATTACTATGTTTTCCTAGCACTTTAGTAATATTTGAACTGGCACAAATTCAAAAAGTGTTGATATATTGATCCTATCTTCATAGACCACGAATATAAATATATGTGCAAGGGCTGCAACTTACGTCAAAACTATTTAGACCAAATTAATATATTATTCAGCAGAGTAGCTATTTTCGCCGTAATTTACGGGCGAATGAGCAGTTAACTAATGACTAGATAACCGTTTACTACCCCATTAACTGATGTCCCCTGCATTAGTTAGCAACAGCATCAAAACGAAAAAAGTAAGTAGTGAACACTAAAGACAACTACACAAAGATGGAGAAAACATAGTTCTTATTTTGTCAGAAGCATCTTTAACAAAATAACTTACAATTTTCGATTTCAGAACTCTTTTTCCCATATCCTGAAAACAAAGTAAAAAGTACAGTAATTTAGTAAAATTACAAAATACCCACAAATTATTTTAAATTTTAATATAAATATTAGTGAAAGCTTCAAAAGTTGATGCTTCACATTGCGGGCAACCTTCTGCTTTCCACAACAATGGGTGAAAATTTCATATTCAAATTCTTCAACTTTATCAATTTCAACAAAAGCAAACAATGAAACGGGATGAAATGTTTAATTTTCAAGGATCCTAATCTAGATTCTTACAAAGTCAATCCAATTTTATCATCGAACATATGCAGATAAAATAACGGATAGACAGAAATGACCTATTGACCCAACACTAGCGAAACTAAGAGAGTTGGATAAAAACACGTAAGGATTACTAATAATTTATGCATTAGTAGAACACAGACATCCTAAAAATGTGGAAAAAGGAACAGTTTCCGGACCACAGCATCACAGATTGCATAATGTAGAAAGAATGCGGAACACAGGGCTCCGGTCTTGAGCTTTGGCGTTTCAGTAGCAGTAATGTTTTCTTCTGTTTTATGGGGCAACATTTAAATATCCGTCGGTCGGGAATCAAAACCCAGACTAAGCACGTGATAAGCGATTATCCTCCTACAGGAACTCCAACGTACGCTTGCTAGGCATAATGTCATTCAACGAATACTTTACAATGGTACTGATGCACATAATATATGGTTACCGAATGTCACAAACGAGATTTGCACACCAGTTATGTGAAAGAGTGGGTACTGAGGTAATGTATTATAATAGTTCGAGACAACTGTTCAGCGTTTCTCTACTTAATGTCAACTGGACAAGAAATTCACTTTCAAGTCAATAATATCCCCTTGATTTTATGTCCATAGACGAAATCACCATACTCACTGTATCAAAGTATAACTGTAAAGCACCAGGACAGTGTTGTTATACGGTGGCTCTTTTCCAATCAAGCTCTATTACGTGAACCAAATCTTTCAAAACACATAACACAACACAAGTTACGAAGAACAAATGTATTAAACAAGATTGTGTTATAGGCCTCATTAAGACATTCATTTGGCATTTTGGTAACATTTTCAGGCTGATGAAACCATTAGAAATAAGTAAAATACCATAATTTCAGGAAAGATTTGGCCAAGTACCGACATCAGTGAGAGAACTATTAAAAAAAAAGAGCAGTCGTCAACTGTTTGTCCTAGTTTGGGATTTTTCAAAAGTCAGTCTGAAGTGCAGTTACATAAAAACAGTGAGTGAATAGTCATGACCTAAGTCGCTTGACGAGCACACTTCATAGAATAGCCCGGGCACGGGCCATAAAAAGACACCAATTATCATTTTTTTTTAACCGAGACTTATGGGACGATAAAAATGAATGCTAACTTTAGGTCAAGATACACGATTAGTGTAAGTAGGATTTGATACAGAACCAAAATACAGTCATTATTACATGCAAGACACTGTTTGAAATGTCTTGTTTCTCATAACTGCAATCTGCCTTACACTCAAATGGGTGCAAAGCAGGTACAACCAAGAATCATGAAACGAGGACCTATTCAGTTTTAGTTTAACAGCAAAATAATATTATTCGTGAGAACTCACCAAGAATTCGTCGAAAGAATAAAACTTCACAGAGGAGCCATATTGTACTTTGAGATCTTCGAACTGTTGATCTTGAATAGCAATAATAATGACCTTTAATGACGATGTAAATTTCTGTAAAATTTTGAGGGCGAGATCTGCTGAATAACACACTAGTGTAATTAATCCAGCTAGTTTTAAACAGTAAACAAAATGATATACAGGCAGTTAGTATACAACGTGTTATGCCAAGAGAATTAAAAATAAACCGGTATTGTTAGACATGTATTTGTATCACTCACTATGTATGAGCAAAGAAATCAAAAGCATTAAAATCGTGAGTATAGTATCAGCTTGTTTCACTGACAAACTCAGTAAAATAAATGCGATTTATGTAACGCTATATTTTGCGTCAGCGGTTAAGCGGTAGAATGTTCGCCAACCACGCACATGGCTCGTGATACAATTCCCGGCCAATTCAAGCCCAAAAGTCACCTAACTGGTAGCGTGGCCGTAAAAGATAGAAGCTCGGGAGTTAGACCAACAACTCCATCCCAGAAAAACCTACACCACCGCTGCCTAAAATTCAGGGCTTCAAGCTCGAAACATTACATCGCGCTGGAAACGTAAGGGATGGATAAGAACTGTGTTCAAGCAAAACTAATTCTTATAATCAAGATGTCATTTACAACTATGTACACTAGCACTGATACATTATAGCATACTAATACTGATGCTATTTGTAAGAATTCAAGCATAAAGTGGAATTCTTCGGCACAACAACTTCAACAAACATGCGATCTATTTACCCCTAGCATTAAACAACAGACTTTAAAAAGAGCTTTGACCTGGGAATTTTTCTAACAGCCTACGATGTGACTGGTTGCTCTGTGGGTGTCTGTGCATGATTCTTTCCCTAAAATACACATTATCTAAGTTCGAAACAGTGAAAGAAAAACCTACGGCAACATCTGTGGCTGGTTAAAGCTATGGAAGGATTGATTTAAAACAAGAAATTTGTCATTCTAAAAACAATGAGATTAAAACTGTGCGATTTTCTGCATATATTTGCGGCCACTAAACCAGAAATATGAGAAAATACTCACAAATCAGTCAACGACATTTACGATATCCTATGCATAATGGAAAAAAGGTAGAACATCATGCAATCAGACTTAAAAGACTTAACTGAAAACCAATTCAATCTGTCGTTCAACTGTATTTCGATTTTACAGCCGAAAACGTTTATATGGACTGCCAAATTTAAAGGCAGTTCTACACGGAATTCCTGGAGAAACAGAGCATTTAATTATTACAGTTATCCTAGTAAAAAACAACCAATAAACGATTTACAAGAGTACTAAAAACACTGTTAGTTCAGAAGGAGCTCTGGATATAAATAATGTTAAGCGACCTGTAGAGGTTAAAAAGTTAGATAAGCATAAGTAACCAGAATTGAAGTCATTTCCACACTGTAGAACGTTATCATGATACCCACGAGGTCACATAACAAATTTTATGCAGTTCGATACCGCATGATGAACATTTATCTTACAAACAACAACGAACAAAAAACCACTGCACAGGGAAACCGAAGAGGAAATTCTAATCCAACTTCTTCTTTCGATCATTTCAATTTTTTGCGTGATGAATATCAAACTTGATTGCTAGAGAAAAAATGAAGACTGTTTCACGTTAAATAAACTGAGAGTCTGCACAAAGTCTCCATCTGGTGGTCACTTTTCACTCGGTACAGTTAATGTAAACGTCACACACAATAATACATATCAAAATATATTGTGTCTTGCAGCTGATGAAAATTCGCTGAAACGGTAACTAGGCCAACGGTTGCGGATACAAAACAAATAGTCAACATGGGTACACTTGCAGTAACAGCACTGAAGCAACACCACTCACATACTCGGTGACTAGGCGAAGCAATAGAATCATTTGCCAAGACATTCTCAAAGCATAAATCTTTTGAAGTTTAGGTTGGAGATTTGATCTAAGATGACAATCAAAATTTTATAACACTATCTACTAAACTGGATAAGAAAACACTAGCCATATCCCACATAACACTTTGCTATAAAAGACGCAAACATGCAACAGACTATTGGAAGCAAGATGTCGAGCATACATTGAACCGGTGAAACGACTCTAGAAGATGTAAACTTCGATGAGGATTTATTTCTAACGTCACACAAACTTGGAGATCTGCAGGCGAAAACCAACATCTTGGAAGAATAGGCAGTGAAGACAGAACTTCAAGTGAATATATATATGCTACAGAGTTAAGGTAATAACTAACCAACAAGGCGCCGAACACCATCAACAGAAGAAATCATCTCTTTCACTTACCTAGACAGCATCGTTGTAACTATGATGTCAAAGACAAGATATCTACTGTACCTAGCTTAAGGAACAAGACTCAAACTTTCTACACCTATATCAAGTCAGTGCTGCTGTTTGCTTCAAAGACTTGGAGAGGACATCAAGAAAAGTATTCCTAATAGGCTACTGCAGACTTTCACCAACAGATCAATACTGAAGACAAGATGACCGATGAAGAAGGACAAGCAACAAGAAACTCTGCCTGTTACTAAACCAACCAACAAGTTAACACACAAAAAGTATGCAGAAGAAAATGGAGATGGATTAGACATACACTGAGGAGACTGTTGAGTGAAATCACACAACAAGTCCTCGAGTGCAACCCGAATGGGGAAAGGTGAGTTGGACGTCCGAGTGTCGTATGAAGTAGATAGTGTGGGGAGTAAATGAATGTTTGTATGTACTCGTTGAGACAATTTAAAAAAGACTTCAGAGAATACAGTGAAGTGGATATGTGATTCTGAGGCCCAATGTTCCATTCAGAAGACAAAGGAACAATTAAAATAATGATGTAATAGTATACAAAAGACACCAACAGATGATACTATATATATATATATATATATATATATATATATATATATATATTAAAGCTCACTTTGAGTAAGAATATATTCCATTGCTTCATCTCCCAAAGTGGCATAAAGAGGGACAACAGTAAATGAATAGCAGAAACATGCATACTGTGTAACAAACCACTGAAATGAACAGAGAAACAAACAATATAGCTAAGTATTATATATAAGGTTTAAAAACCATTGCGTGTATTCGTGTTAGCAACGCCTAACATTTAAAGAAGAGTTACAATTCACAAAGATACCAACATGTGTACAGAGCATAATGAGTGAAGATGAAACACAGTTAAAAAAATAACTTTTCTAGCTACAACCGTTAAACTTACCGAATAATTTATTTTCGATTAAACGTGCTTACATCAACTTTGAAAACACACAAATACAACTGCTTTATTAAAAAAAACACAGAACCGTAAACTACAACCTGACTAAAAAATAATTCACACCAAATAACACACACCTGACGGCAACAGTATAGAATAGATACCACAGCAATCATATGCTTATATAGATAGATTAGATAGATAGATAGATTAGATAGATAGATTAGATAGATAGATTAGATAGATAGATAGATTAGATAGATAGATTAGATAGATAGATTAGATAGATAGATTAGATAGATAGATAGATTAGATAGATAGACTAGATAGATAGATTAGATAGATAGATAGATAGATAGATAGATAGATATTCCTTCACGTTCCCAGTGGTACATAGGATTCCAAGCTAGTGGCTTGAAGTTTCTGTAGCAGTGTTTATTTTACAGGATGGGGTTACTACCCTCATGCCCAACCTTTATTCTTTACCGGTCTTATTTCTGGTTTAGCGGGATAAAGGAGTGCGTCAGCCGGGGATCGAACCCCGGACCATGTACATGGTCGACGAGCGTCCTAACCGCTATGCCACCGAAGCATATATATAGTAAAAATGAATTATATAAGGTATCCGGCACTCATTTGCTGAAAAAACAGTCCCATTTTTTCATAGGAGTAGCTATAGATACGCCGATTCGCTGTTTTTGGATACACCCGAAATCTCTAAACAGAATTTGTTTAAGTACCAGCTATAGGATCCACTAATTCTGATGAATGATTGGCTTCATGATGAATGTAACTTATTGATGGCAGTCGCAGCATTTAAATGTATGCTGTCTACTATGTTCATTGCAAGTTACGTCCTAACTCTAATTTTTGTCGCATGCTTAACCACAGCCTTAACCGTAACCCTAGGCCTACCCCCTACTAAACCATCAATTACGGTAATGATTATGAAAAGAATGCATTTGCAATGTTGAGCGATCTGACTGGTTGGTTCAAGATCACTTGACTGTAGTATCTATGCTTAACTCTTGACAATATGACATTTCAACCCTACGTTGTTTGTATTGAAACACCTTTTTATTTCTATCGAATCCAAAATAACTGATTAGTATGACTGAAAACAAATTCACCAACAGCTACTTATAGGAAAATAGGTTTTAATTACATTTATACACAAAAATCACCGGAACTGAAAACTAATCTGAAAAGATCAAAATTCCCTGCAGATTCTTACACGCATATGAAATTCAGACTACACACAGTTAAAAAGGAAAATGACTGCGTAAACTGCTTACATCAAGAAAAACAATTACACACCTGTACAGAATTTCGACCGAAAATACCCACAAACTTTTCGGACTCTGAGTAATCACTCATAACTTCAACAAGTGCCGATCCAAATGCTTGAACCTTTTCGTCAACCTTAAGAAAGAATCTTTTATGTATCCTGTATAGACAAACCTCTTGATAAGTGATCCAAGAATATTCTTCGCTGATGGTATATCTACTACCCAGACATGGCTGCAAACCTAAATGAGAAAAACATGATAGAGAAACTGTAATATAACCTTCAACATACACAAAAGTATTACTCAAAGATATGCAGAAAGTGAAAGACGTGGTTTTAAAAAACCAAACTCATACACCTCGCAAATCCATGTTTTTTCGTTACCAGTGGAGTACTCAAAAATGGCCTTATCGGAATATAAACGTTAACACAGTGCCTAAGGAGTACTTCTCTGAGTATGGTCATACATTTAAACTCAAAGCACATCATTCGTTGAAAGACTGCTACGTTATTCCTAGAGCCTACAATTTGCAGCATCTGGCACAACGGTGAAATGCTCGCCAACCACGCATGTGCTCTAGAGTTCGATCCCCGACCGACACACTTCCTAACCTCGCTAAGCCAGTAATAAGACTGGGTATGAAGCTAGCAACCTCATCCCGCAAAAATAAACACCACTACTACCGAAACTTCAAGCCTCTAGGCTGAAGTCCTATATTCCACTGGTAACGTAAAGGAATTAATAAAACAGCATATAACACAAGGACGAAGTCATCAACTTAACTAACAAAAACTGCCCAGTACAACTAAGAATGACCGCCTATATATTGTACCAGTTACGAAAAACATTTTCTCTTCTCCCACCACATAAGAATTAATCCGATCAACATTTCTAACACAAATCTGAAGATAACATAGTAGGCAAGTAAACGTTCCCCAGTTTTAGCCGTGACTGTTCCAAAAAGATCTTTACTATTTTTCTTTGTATCCTGAAAACAAGCACACTTCCAAGTGCCTACCTTTACTTGCTAGAACGGGGCTAACATTTTACTTCACCCAATAAACGGGTCTAATAGCCGTGTTTAACTGAAGGGAATAACACAAAATTTGGCTATCCTGATGCAGGCTTTTAACCAAAAAATGCTTGATTGTGTTAGATCTTACAGTTTCCTATTTTGTATGGCGTTTACCTGGAGTGATTTCCACAAAACACCCTGTATTAGTCTTTACTTACCGCCACCATAATGTGCTTTTCAGGATCACTTCCAAAAGTTTCACTCTACAGGAACTACACCATATGAAAGATTCTTTCACCAATTTATAAAAACAGTAAAAGACTGATAAGGAGAAAATAAGTTCGAAAAGTGCAAAGTCTAGTGCATATTTGAGTGTTAAGCATGACAGTGTTTCTCAACTTCTGAAACAAATCACCCTCTCCGGACTTATATGCTTCGATTTATTACTCGACCATGTAAAATCAAGTGGTTGAACACAATGACAACTCCTCTCGCTAACTTGTGTACGGTCGGGTGGTGTTCTAGTGTGTATAATCACCAAACACCTCTGCATACTTAGGGTTATGTTAGAAGAACATAACCAGACAAAGATATGGTATTAATCCATGAAAACTAAGACTTTTGGTGTTGACAGTGAAAAGAAGTGAGTCATAACCGTAAAAACAGCATGCCAATAATGTAGATGCGTAATTTGTGTGGATAAACCATTATTATCTGGCCTCTTTGTTGCCGCCCAAATAGATGGTTAGAGGCCCCTAGGTATTCATACCATACCTATTTAGGTATTAATACACACAGCTTAAACGTAATGCCACATTTTTACACTTTACCACTTCTTACTTCTAAATGATCTATAGCAACTTGAACCGTTGTGCAATTATGATGGGTCTTTCGATGATAATATCTGATTACCCCCCGTAAGTAATCTATTGTTCTAACCACTCAATACAGCCAGTTGCACACTGACCACAGACGTGCAATTATTGTACTATTCTACTTAGTTTTTCAATCAATGAACTTAGAAAAAAGTTTCTCCTAATATAATTTGAACTAGTCAATAGAGTAGCCAAGTCGGGTCACAACAAATACGTTGGTAATGAGGTGGGTACAGCCAGACATTTTATGGTTACTTCAGTAAATATTCACTTCAGTGATGCTGTTGCACACATTGTGATCTGATGACTAATGTGAACAAACATCATATAGATTACTGGCATAAGCGAACCTTCTTACAAAATTTATATGGTCACTGCCGTGAGTGAGGTATGTCAACAAGTCGTTGAGTATCCTTTTACTTCATTACAAGAGAAGCATTCTTTACCCATTTGATATGACTCATGCAAGCTTCTAAGTGCGTGAAGGCACTGGTACATAAGCACATGCAACGCTTTTCGCGTGAAAACTGCGTTATTGCGGGTCAGAACCCCAAAGTCGCACAGAATAATAATGAAAACTTGATCTGAAACAACAAAGTTGTAATTGTTAAACACCATCAACTAACATGCATATGCTTTTCGCGTACTATAAATAAGTTATGTAATGCTGAGAAGGGAATAAAAGAAAATTCAAACTCTAACAGCAAATTTGTAGTGAAGTAGAGTTGAAACCAGAAATAAAAAACCATGGTAGACGTTATTTTACTTAGCTAACGCAGCATATACATCGCCTTTAGCTCTTTTGATGCGAGTAAACATATTTTTGAGCAGCAGTATACGAGAAAAGTATTCTATTTAGTGTGACATTAGCAAATACTATTCAATTCACATACTGAAACGCCAAAATGATTCAAAAAATGTGGTCACTTCCGAGTGCTTTCAAGTGTTTCCATATCATGTAAATCTCACGAAGATCACAATTTCGTTGACTCATCCACGATCAATTCATAAGTCTGTCATCATCTGATATCTACAAGCTGGATATTCGGTCGTCATGATCCCTGATATTCTAAAAGCATTACTAACAGATCTGAATTTTTGTGATCATCGTGAAGAGACATATCCCCCTTTTTATGAGCTAGAACAATCATTACCTAAAATTCGATGTAAAAGACGTTTATTTTCCGATTCCACGCCTTGAATGACAGCCGGGATCTGAGTAGATAATTCTCAAGTAGAATTTCGGTGTTTTACCTCCAAGCTAAATTCATGAAGATTCTTCAGGCGTGGTTCATCCTCTACAACAACACCTAAGTGATCTTTAAAGTAATTCTCTACAAGAAGTAATGACTCCATTCAAACCAAATAGAGGGACTTCCTAGCTACACTTATCATTGGTTTGAAGTCAGCTGCATAGGTGGCTGGGTGGAAATGCCTGCCAGCTATGCATGTAGTTCGGGTTTGATTTCCCGCCAACAAAATCCTTAACCTCACCTAGCCGGTAGTGGGCTGGGATAAAACGGAAGGTCAGACGTGAAATTGGCTCTCACTCCGTAAAGCCACGAGCGCTAGTGAAACTCTAAAGCTTATAGTTTGAACCCCTACGTTCTACTCGGAACGCAAAGGAATGAGAAAAAGAAAAAGGAGAAGTCAGCAGACACACGTTTAGGAAACGCCTTTTAGTCCCTGTATTCACTGTTAGGGTTGTAGCTAGAGCATATTAAAATAAAACTCGGCATAGACAAATGAAAGAAGCAATATAAACGGTGATCCGGTAAAATACTTCATCACCTTTTGATGTTTGGTATATGGATTTTTAATATATAAAAACAGGAATTCGGTTAGTAAAATAAAAATACCAGCGACTAACGGGATATATCAAGCCCCCTTTGAAACAGATCCATCATCGTTTTAACTTCTGAAGAATTATTATTGGTGATGATCAAGCTACTTCTGCGTGCACCAGTCTATCAGAAAAAAATTAATGTAATCAAGCATTGAGTTAAAAGGAAAAATTTCACTGATTCTTAAAGTATTCGTAATAAACCAATCTCCAAGCTCCTTACACTTGGATGAAATTACTGACATCCAAGTATGAGTACAGTCAAAGCCGAAAATTGCTAATTTCTATTTTACCTTTGAGTCTGTTTCGTAACGTTTAACTATGATTTCACAAAAGCAGTGGACAAAATGTATGTATAAATACAGTTGTTTTGGTCACCAGATGAACGAGTTCTACAAGAATAAAACGATGAGAATTGAAATATGCAAACTTGGGCCCGCAGAAAGACTTTAGTCAACAACTACTGTTTATGGATTCGGAAATATTTCGAATAAATTATAACCAAAGAAGATAACTGGTGGAAAAATTAGCACTTTTTTGGTCACCTTTCATTAAATAAGCTGACACCGTACATTTGTTTAATAGTTAATTGGACATATCCAATGCGTACCACTTGTATTTGCTAGTCATTTAACAGCATCAATATATCAAAAAATACATCACAAACAGCTTGAGTTTTCAAAAAGTAAGAAAACAGCTTAATCGCTGGAATTGACTACTAATTAATACGATCCTATCAAGGCTTACAAATCATCACAACTCAGAGTTACGTTGAAATGACAAATGAACGAAAGAAATCAGTAATGTGCATATAGTGTTTGAATATCAAGGAAATGTATAGTGGCCAAATACTAAATAGAAAAATGTGGTGCATTTGGGAGCAAAATTAGAGAGAAAGAATTTTATTTCACTTTCACTCGAAGTTGACTCAAATGTTGCTAACGGAAAGCAGAAACCACAGGAAACTGTAAAGACAAAATAACTAACTACTTTCAGTACTGTAAAAGACTACAGCGGTTGGCTATTTCAGTGTAGACTGTAGAAAAAGCTGATATTGTGTGAATTTGATGGACGAGGCTGAAGGAAATGACTTTGTCGTCGTTTATTTGGATGTCTAGCTTAATCAATTAGTAGATTCCATTTCATATCAGAGGAAATAATACTTCTCTAGAGCTCATCCTCCATTTAAAACGAAGTATGTCAGCACAAAAACTGCTTATGCCTTCAAAGACAAGAAGGAAAACCATAATTGAATTTGACCAGTATATTGACTAAACAGCAGTAATATCATCCCAGTGAAGCCTTCGCAAGTATTTTACTTTTGATGATATTCACATACAAAAATCCACTTAGATGAAAGCATATTTCAATACCCATTAGGTAGAGGTTTTCAAACAAAGTAATATATAATCACCAACTTAGTCGACACAGCTAAGTAGATGTCTGATAAATGTACAAGAACAATGGCTGACCTACCTCTGCATCAACGATTATGGATTGTTGTCCCAAATAATTACTGACAAATGGCTCACTCACACTCGGGTTGTGTATTTTACAGTATACATTAGGATATTTTGGTCTGTCACCTAATTGAAGAAAAAGACATTTTTGTTAAGTCAGCGGGAAATAGGTACGTTCTATAACAAGAACTATACAGGAAATCAGCATACATGAAGGGAAACAAGCTGGTGGGAATAATTACCCGAGAATTTTCACCCAAACTAAATCACGAATTCAACAGCGATAATCACTCACGCATGAATTCTACTGTATTTCAGTTATAGCACTGCGGTCACCTTCTAATCGACGTCTTCTCCCCTTAACTTAACGATCTATTACTTCGCTATAAAAATATTCGGTCTATTTGACAAAGCTAAACCAAAATTTAAGCTTAAATAAACAACCAAAAGTCGAAAGAAAAAATGCGATTTTGCACTGAGTCAAAGGTCTCAACATCTTTGCAGAGCATTTAAAGCAAATACAAACTAATGGATACTCGGAACTTTAAGAATATTGTATACCCCGCCGCAGAAAAACATAAATGAATGCCTTACCTGCTTTATTTACTCAGGTAAGTATGAAGCTGTGGACGTTACCTTGATATTAAACAAGATACATGTACGTCGACAATAGAATATGGACCGCTATCATGCGAAAAACACTTACCCCTACGAGAAAACATTCCCAAATGCGAAGCTCCCACTTTTGAAAACGTTCGGTAGAAGAGTCACGAAAATCTATGCAGCTAAACAAAACCTAATAAATGCAATTGACCACATGTCATCTGAGTCCACTGACTTCTGACCTCTAACTCATCAACTGAAAAGAATATTTCCAGGTCTTTGGTGGGTTCCACTATAGTATATGCAATCCAAAAAATATCTTATTTAACGTCTTTTTAATGGGCCAGTATTTGTCGAATTGGTTCCTTTGGTCTGGCTTCTTGGTAATGACGTAAGGTTCCTGGCCTTTAATGGATTACTATATAATCTATCCCACAACCTGCCTGCCAAAGATTCGGTGAACTAATACAAGTATGGTTTAATTTTTGAAGTGGAGTGGTATGCTAAATAGTACCAAATGTCGTCATAAAATCAAGGAAGATTCCATGAACTGGAGGATTCCTATCTCCCTACGATATGCATTCATCGTGGGCTAAAAGCTTCTTTCTTATACATTATCCAAATCTCTCAGATGAGTGTTGAGCTTGGTGGAACATATCATGTCAATGTAGTTGAAGAATATACGATCAATTCATGGTTGTTTACTCAAAATCAACTCCATATTTTGGCAGTAGTCATCGATACTCCAATCATCGTTTCATCGTTCGCTGTTCATTAGAAGACGGAGAAATACTATCAGAAGTATTACTGTGATTAATTGTTACGACATTTATTCTTAGAGCTTGTGTATAATAACCTTATTATTGGTTCCATGTTGGCGCAAGAATAAAGGATTCTCGAGTCACCATTATGTGTTCCATTTTTCTCGCGTTGGTTATTGTACATTGTTGCTGAAAGTCTTCCAAGGACAGCTTTAAGTTCAGTATACTTGCACCCGGACCCTGACAGTTTCTGGTAGCTCCTGGAACTATCCGCTGTATTCTATGTTAATTCGTCTTTCCTCTTGTCTGACAGTTTTCTTTGGAGAGTGTCATTTGAAACTTTTCTGGATCGCTTGGTAATGTCCAATAATGCTTGGGCAAAGCGTTTTGGAGGCAGACGACAAAGTAAGTCTCGATGATCTGTCTAATGTGTGTAATGTTATGTCTGATGTTATGCTGGATAATCATGATGTACCGGCCAGAGAGATAAGTTGCTTAAAGCCGCCGAAGTTCGAACCCAGGTGCTTTGAAGGGAATCCTGCTGACTTTGTGGAAGAAATTAAAGTCATGCTCGAGGGTTTGAAGTTAAGCGATGAAATGAAACTAATGTACTTGTTGAGGTATTGTGCCGGCAGTGTGAGGAGAGCAATACAGTGTTGCAAGTTTCTGCCACCTAAGGAGGGATATACGGAGGCTAATCTTATCCTGCGTCAAAAGTACTGAAGACCTCCGATGATTGTAAGAAACATATTCGAGGCTGCTAAAGGTATTAGCAGTCAGTTACAAGATGACTCCAAGGCACTGAGTTTCTGGATAATTTGATGACCCACAAGAATAAGTTAGTATGGGTGAATTGCATGAGCGATCTGAACTCGAGTTCTGTCCTAGAGGTAATAGCGAGACGATTGCCTACTCGACTGCAAAGAAAACATGTGAAGATAAGCTGTCGTATAATGGATGAAGGCTTAGAGCCAGGGTTCGATGATATACTGAGCTTAGTCACAGATAGTGTTAATCAGGCTATGATCAAGTTTGCTAGTATGCTGCAACCCACCGCTAGAATAGGGAAGTCAGAGAGCGAAGCGTAGTCATTTGTGAAGAAGAGGTCTCAGAGAAGCGGATATTGAGACAGCCGTATGGTGTCTAGTAATCCACACAAACTTAGTGAATGCGACGGCTTTCGTGAGACGTCCCCAAAGGAGAGGTCACAAGTTGCCAGATAAACACGATTGTGTTTAATCCATTCACAAGAAGTGCAAACAAAAGCGATCTGTGAGAAAGTGAGCAAGTTTAGTGGTAAGCTAAATGTGAAATCAGCGTCATCAAGTTCTGATTCCGAATCGTGTGACAATAATGGTGAGGTGAAGAAGCTTATAGTTGCAACTGGCAAGCCATTGTTGAATGGAGTGTCACAGACGACACCACAGTTTGTGCAGAAGAAGGGAGTTACCGTTTCATAGTCCCGTTCTGACTCCACAAGTTTACAAGGTATCACAATGTCTTATCTCATTCATTTTCTAATAACGTCTTTACTTGATCCTCGTTATATCCCATTAAACCTAACATTTTATAGCTCTTTATGAATTTGATTCGACTTATTCTATTCCTATTCTCTGTAGGGTACGGTTGTGCACCAAATGCACAAAAAGGCATAACATATAAAAAAACCGGCATAAGGAAAAAGTGTATTAAAACCAAAAGTGGACATCATGATAGTGGAAACTGTACAGGAAGCATTATACATTTCAAATGAACTTTGTCAGCCTAGGGAGTTTTCTTTTTTAATGCATTTATTAATGATACTTGCACTTACCCATTTCATTACACTTTATTGATTCACCTCAGCACTTTTACTTTTCTAAAACAGTTTTCAATCCCTTGTAAACGTTGTACTTACCTCAATATTGGTTGGTTATCGTTGCCGACAACCACGGGATGAAAACGAAACGAAGTCCATTTTCCCGCTCAACCTGGAGGACAATTGTACAATTCAATAACTATACAGCCTAGTTCAGACAATGTGTATTTATATATATCAAATATTTAACTGTTGAAACATTATTAACTTGTAGACAATCTACGATTTGATATTATGTCATACTTTATCGTGTCTCTAAAAATGGCATGCATTTTCATGTAAATTTATATGTTTATATGAGAATATACATTATTATTATTGCTAGTCAGAGTAAAGATATGAAGCCTTTAAGGATTCATGAGGAAGAACCTAAGTCATCTACTGCTGTTATTAAAGAGGTTGAAAATGAGGAAGTCGATCATACGAGCGGCGGTAAAGTGGATATTTGTAACAGTAATCATGATAGCGCACATTTGTCTTGACTGATCATGATGAGATGAGGGGAATACCTACAACTGGTGAGTTGAAAAAAAGTTCTGCACAATTAGAACGTCTAGAAGAATTAAAGGCAGATGCGGTTGCAGAAGGATAGACACCCATTAGACAGTCACAGACAGTGATTCAAGTATAGGCATGTAAATGGAGTTGAAGATTGAACGATCAATTCATTGTTGTTTGCTCAAAACCAACTTCCCCAATTTTCGCGGAGGCATCATACGACAGTCATCGTCTCATCGGTCGCTGTTCAGAAAGAAGTCAGCAGTAAACCGTCAGAAGTAATCTTGTGATTTATTATTGTAATATTTGTTCACAGACCTTAGTGGAATTATTTTTTATATGTTGGTGTTACAATAAAGAATTCTCAAGCGGCCAATCGGTGTTTTGGTTTTGCATCCGTTATTACTAAGCGTTTCTGAAAATCTTCAAGGAACAGCGTGAGCCCGAGCGTAGCAAGAGCTGGGCATTAACGGTTTACGTGACGTGACTGACACAAGAGGGATAAAGTATGTTTTTTATTAAATTTTTATCAAATATGCTTAGAAATCGTATATGTAATTTATCATGTTTATGGTGCCTATAAACTGGCGTCCCTAATGTACAAAACTGAGGATATATTTTTATTTTCATAAGCTGCTTTTTTTCAACCTTTATAATGTTATAAATTATTTAAATTAATCCCAGCGTGTTAAGAAAATCAAAACAAGATTTTCTGAACGTTTCGCCGTGTAAGCCACAGCTTCTTCAGCAGATTTATTCGGATCCGATCCGAATAAATCTGCTGAAGAAGCTGTGGCTTACACGGCGAAACGTCAGAAAATCTTGTTTTGATTTTCTTAACACGCTGGGATTAATTTAAATAATTTATAATGAATCATCTGACTCGGCGCACAAATTATTCCAGAAATTCGTAACACCTACGGTCTGGAACCTATAATCTTTATAATGATGTCTAGCCACAGGATTGCTATCGCGGCTACCCTTCATGATTAGATCCAGTTTGGCATTTACATCTGTCGATAAATGGGCTGTCAGTCGCGTCTCGTAAACCGTTAATGCCCAGCTCTTGCTACGCTCGGGCTCACGCTGTTCCTTGAAGATTTTCAGAAACGCTTAGTAATAACGGATGCAAAAACCAAAACACCGATTGGCCGCTTGAGAATTCTTTATTGTAACACCAACATATAAAAAATAATTCCACTAAGGTCTGTGAACAAATATTACAATAATAAATCACAAAATTACTTCTGACGGTTTACTACTGACTTCTTTCTGAACAGCGACCGATGAGACGATGACTGTCGTATTGATGCCTCCGCGAAAATTGGGGAAGTTGATTTTGAGCAAACAACAATGAATTGATCGTTCAATCTTCAAATACATTGACACTCCCCACCGAAAAAAGGCATCCATCTCTTTTTTCTTCACGACCAATACACGTTGACTTGGATGCCATTGCGAGAACCTGGGTCACATGGACAGAGCTGAAATGGAAAACAAACAGAAAAGCCAACACACCACAAGCATACCCACAGCACAATCTCACACATCAATGACGACCTACGCCTTCCAGTTAAAGGCATCCTCTTGCAACGCAACCGCCACTTGCTAGAATGACTCTTGCAGAATGCAACGTGACCATAGCAGCTAATCATTATCTCCATGTGCATTTCATTCTCAGCAATAGCCTAGCCTCCCGGCGTATACGACCCATCTGCTGTCCTTAACATCAATCAATTCACTCACGAACGTAGAAGACTAGAAAGAACTTCAGAAGTAATCACGACGAAAATTTTAACAAAATTATGCAATAAAAACAAGGTACGAAAACAACGAGTAAACACAATGGATCCAAAAACACCAATTGATATGACACACCACAGGTATACACAAACAGTACACACAAACTCGCAGTTCATGTCTTGATGGAATTCCTTTGAAGAATCGCAGGACTTACACCAGAACACCTACAAACCCTCACAGGTTGACCATTGTAAGTTGTGGAATGTCCGGACACAAACAAGATTAACCAACAATTACATTAATTGTAACCCAGT